GGGGTGGGGTGGCTGGAAAAGGGTGGGGGGCAAGGGGCGTGGCGCAAAGAGGGCTGGGGCTGGGGCTGGGGCGGGTGGTAAACGGCACCGGCGTTGACAAACTCCGCTACGAGCTCGTCCGCAACCTCGTTGTACCTGGGCAGAAGAAGGGGGGGGGTGGTCGGGGGGGTTGGGGATATGGGAGGGGCGGGAGCGGGGCGATGCCGCGTCGGCTTCTCCTCCCTCCTCGCAGGCGCTGCGCGCGCACACGGTGCGGTACGGCGGCAAGCTCCAGGAAGGCTTCCGGGTCGCACGCGCGCAGGCAGGGGGGGGAGGGGGGGGTTCGCACGTGGTCCGTCCCTTTTGCTCCACCTTCTCGCAAACCTTCATGCTGAAGTGCCGAAGGCCCTTGTCGCCGCCCTTGCCGCCGTGCGAGCGCTGCGAGCGCTTCTTCTGTTCCTCAGGGGAGGGGCGTAGCTCAGCAGGCGCGGGAACGCTGCCGCGGTGGGCGGCAGTGGGAACGCGTCGGGCGGCGGTGAAGCGGTGTGCTGGGGCGGAAGAAGGCTGCGGCGCAGGCGGCATCGCCCTCACCTTGCCGTCAGCGCCGACCATCCCAGCAAGCGCCTCCGGGACCGCAGGTCCTCCGCCGCCATAGCTGGGCACGCGGACCTGGGCAGGAGCGTCGGAGACGGCGCACGCAGCGCAGCTGCCGGCACGGGCGAGAGCGCGTGAGAAGGGGGCGAGATTCCGGGTGAAGGGGAAACACGCTGGTGGCAAGGAGAGGGGCCGGAGGTAGGGCGAGCTCTCCCGCGGCTGGGCGGCGCCGCACCTCGCTGCTATGGCTGGCGCGATCGCTCCGTCCACAGTCCGTGGCGCGGCGCTGGAGGGGCCCGCCTCGCCGGCGCCGGGCTGCACGATGCCAACCTCCTCGGCGATGTCGCGCAGCCCGGCGAACTCGATCAGCTCTTCGACGGAGGCCACCTTCCCCTTTGGCTTAGGCGGGAGAGTGAGATTCATCACACACAGACCTGGTGGCTGGAGAGAGCCCACGACGGGGGGCGGCAAGCTGCCGGAGCTCGGTTCGGACTTTTTTCGGGTATGGTATGGTCGGAGCGTGCCGCGTGCGTGTCGTCATCGAGGTGATATAACCGCCAATGGCAGTTGTGCGGCCGTCGCCGCGGCTCGTCTCTGCCGCGGCGGCTGCTGCGCGCTCGCAGCGGCGCCGCTCTCTCGAGCGACGGCTGGCGCCGCGGCTCGCCGCCGACGCGCGCTGCGCTCGCACGACCATCCGCGGCGTGGCGTGCGCGGAGCTGCGCGCCGCTCTGCGAGCGCTTCTGCGGGCGCCTCATGCTGCACTGCTGTACATCATCCTGCACTGCTGGATTGGACTGCGTTGGTCCTCGAGGAGACTGCGCGGTGCTCTACGCGGAAGTCTGCGAGCGTCGATCGCGCACGGCAGGCGGATTGCGGGCTGCGTGAGAGCGGCAGGCGCTCTCCTCTCTCTGGTGCTGATGCTGCTGCTGCTGCTGCTGGTGCTGCTGGTGCTGATGCTGCTGCTGGTGCGGCGCGGCTCTGCGACTCAGCTCACCGCGCGCGTCGCGGGAATCTGACGCGGTGGGCGGCGTCGAGAGCGGCAGCGGTGGCGGCTCGAGGGTGGAGGCGGTGGCTGGAGGCTGTGGTGGACTTTGAGTTTATTTAGGGGTCGAGTACGCGGGCCGCCGGCGAGCTGCTGCCGCGCATGCTGCGCTGTGGGCTTCGCCATCGTGTCCTGAGTACGTCGCCGACGCCACCTGCCGCTCGCAGCTGCCTTGGACTTCCCTGCCATCAGGCATCAGGCAAACACACAGACACACACACACAAACACACACACGTTATTAATCGGGTAATAATTATTAAATATAATCATCGGGCGGGGGCGCGGCGCGGCGGCGAGCGGCGCGAGGCGGCGGCGCGGCGAGGCAGCGGGCGGCGCAGGGCGGGGCGGCGCGGCGGCGGATGGGGTAATTAATTATTTGTTAATTAATTATTACTTAATAATCATCGGGCGGCGGCGCGGCGCGGCGGCGGGCGGGGCGGAGCGGGGCGGCGAGACCATCTGCAGTTACCGGGCCTCTGGTCATTGGAGAGCGGCAATGGTCGCGCCGCCCTCGACTCAAGGGGCTGCCTTCCACCGCCGCTGCCCAGGCCGGGGGAGGGGGGGGGACCTCCTGTTCCTCGCGGAACGGGAGCAGGCCCCTCCTTGCCCGGTCAGGAGGCAGGGCGGTGGACGTGCCATCGTCGCTTCGTACTCGAAACCACGACGCCGCAACCGTCGCCGGCGCGCGACACGATCTCGTCGGCCGGACTGTCCTCGTCGAGTGTGTGCCGCCAAGGCGGGACGCACTCAGGGACAGTGGCGACGAGACGCGGCTCGAGGGGCGGCCCCCGCGAAGGCACGGCTGGCAACCGTGGCGCGGGGCTCTTCCTCTAAAAGTCGGGTATGGCTCCGCCCGCAACTCTCTCGCTGACACGCGCGCCCGCCGACCTTACGACGGGTGCGCTGAGGTCGCACGCCTCCCAAGTCATATGCCACGGCGTGCGATCTAGAATCAGCACACGCGCCTCTGCTTGCATACACTCATACATTGGACTGTCATTGCCTGTGAGTGCGAGAAGGGCTAGCCGCAGGCAGCTAGCCCGTGAGGAGGGCGTCCGTAGACACCTCACTAACCCCACACACGGTCTCGTCCGTGCCTTGCCGGCCGGTGAGATTGCTAGAGGTGGAGCAAGCCCGCTCTAGCCTCGCATATCACTTCCTGTCGTCTGTTGTTTGTTGTGCCCTTGTTTGTACTCCTTGGCACCGTGGAGTGCTGGGGGGGGCGACAGGGAGGATGTGGCCTTGAGTTATGTGTGCGCCAACTCAGGGTGTGTGGCAGCCAGCTGGCTGTGTGTCTTGTGAGCCTGTTTGTGTCTGTGTGTCGCTCGTGCGTGTCGTCATCATCTGTCCAGCGTCCACCCATACCGCGTTGGTGTCCAGTCCGAGCCTGGCTGTTCTTCACCTTACTACCTACCTGTCGTCATCATCTGTCTCGCGTCCAGCCATACCGCGTTGGTGTCCAGTCCGAGCCTGGCTGTTCTTCACCTTCCTAATAAATAACTAACTCGAGACCATACCCCCCCGCCTGCTGACAGACCAAGCCTCCAGCCGACAGGACCATACCCCCCCCCCCCCCTGCCCCACAGCCGGCCGCTGCTAAAGCCGAGGCTCTGGACGTCTGTCTGGAGGCTGCAGACACCGACACGCACACTAGATACGCGCGGATAGCCGCCATCGGCAATCACCCTCCTTAGGGCAGCTTGAAGCGCGCCGGCACAGAGTCGGTGGGCGCGAGCGGCGGCGCGCCGGGGGGGAGAGGCGTGTCTGGGTAAGCCGAGGCTTGACAGCCACCTTCGAGGCCTCGTGGCCACCTGTGAGGCTTGTGAGCCATCTCGAGCGAGCCTACATGGGCGGTGGGCGCGAGGAGGCAATGGACCTCTGACGCACCACAGAGCTCGAGATGACAAGCGTGGCGGAGCTGAGCAGCACAGCCTGTACAGGCGCTCGCACTGCCAGCCCGCCCTGCCCTCGCCCCGCCCCCCCGCCCGCCCGCCGGTGGCGGGCCCGTCCTGGCTGTTCCCTTGCAGGAATTGGCACTGGACGAGAGCTGGGGCGGCGTGAACGTGACATACCTGAGCTGGGGCGGCGTGAACCTAACAAGGTGCACCCAGTTACCGCTGAGCCGCGAGGCGAAGGCAACATGTTTTGGGGTGGGGGCAGGGTCGACCGGGCTCCCCACACCGGACATGGGTACCAAGGTGCACCGCATCCCCTGCTGCTCCTCTGATTTTCGGGGATTTGTCCCGGCCGGTTCCCCCAGTCTCTCGACCATGAGAGGAAAGACGTCCGGCGGGCCACATGCGATGGGATCGATGTGCGATTGGAGCAGCAACTACATGCCCGGGGCAGCTACGGCCGCCACCTCCTACCGGGCGGCGACCCCAATTTGTCGATGGGCCTTTATGAGACAACCTGGGACTCTCCACTCCGGCAGCCGGCGCGATGGGCCTGTTTGAGCGCCGACGCCGGGGTCGTGTGGCGATGTGCCTCGGGAGCTCCAGACGCAGCTCTCGGGGCACGCCAACCCAGGAGATTTAAAGGACCAATCAACAAATACAACCAACGATCAGCTGGAGAACTCGGACGCGATGGATAATCGGAGATAGCCGCGCAGCGGCTATGTAGGTTATCCTTCAACGTGAGGAGAGGGGGACAGCAAGCATAACAAAACGTGCGATCCAACGAAAGCACGCGTCGCCGTCGGCTCGCAGCTTCGGGCTGCTTGCTCAACCCCATCGTCCGAGTCGTGCGCAATCTCGCGTGACCCACCCTCCTCTTCCCTTGCACGCGAGTGTTCTCTGATTGTATGTGTGGACAGGGAGTGTCCTGTCCTCACGGCGTCGGCGCATGTGTGTGTGTGGTTCCCAGTGTGGGGCCTGTTTGAGCGCCGACGCCGGGGTCGTGTGGCGATGTGCCTCGGGAGCTCCAGACGCAGCTCTCGGGGCACGCCAACCCAGGAGATTTAAAGGACCAATCAACAAATACAACCAACGATCAGCTGGAGAACTCGGACGCGATGGATAAGGCGCACCGCGCGTCCCTGACCGTCCCTGAACAACGCGCAAAAGCACCGGGTCCCCTTATTATACTTTATGCAGCTTTTCGTGGCGGCCGTCTCTTTGCGCGTGCTTGTGTGGGGTTGTGTCCAAAACGTAAGAAAATCGCAGACAACCCCCCCACACGCCACACCTCACTGCCCCGGCGCCCACGCCTCGATCTTCTTGGGCAGCAGCTGGTTCGGCAGGTCCTCTCCGTGTCCTAGGCAGCCGTGTTCGCCCTTGCCCCAGGTAAAGAAGGCGCCGTCGGCGGTGATGGCGAGGCTGTGTTCGTCTCCCGCCGAGACAGCGACGACGCGCTGGTCAGCGAAGGCCTCGATCTTCTTGGGCAGCAGCTGGTGCTGCTCGTCGCCGTGGCCCAGCTTGCCAAAGAGTACACTGCCCCAGCTCCAGACAGCGCCGTCGGCGGTAATGGCGAGGATGTGGTTGCCTCCAGCCGACACAGCGACGACGCGCTGGCCAGCAAAGGCCTCGATCTTCTTGGGCAGCAGCTGGTTCTGCTGGTCGCCGTGGCCAAGCCGGCCATACCGTCCACCTCCCCAGCTCCACACGGCGCCGTCGGCGGTGAGGGCGAGGCCCTGGAAGTATCCAGACGCGACAGCAACGACGCGCTGGCCGGCAAAGGCCTCGATCTTCTTGGGCAGCGGCTGGTTCTGCTCATCGCCGTGGCCAAGCCGGCCATACCGTCCACCTCCCCAGCTCCACACGGCGCCGTCGGCGGTGACGGCGAGGTTGTGGTCCTCTCCCGCCGACACGGTGATGACGCGCTGCCCAGCAAAGGCCTCGACCTTCTTGGGCAGCAGCTGGTTCTGCTGGTCTCCGTGGCCCAACCGGCCCCCGCCTCCACAGCCCCAGCTCCAGAGGGCTCCGCCGGCGGCGAGGGCGAGGCTGTGCGACCATCCCGCCGACACAGCGACGACGCGCTGGTCAGCAAAGGCCTCGATCTTCTTGGGCAGCAGCTGGTTCTGCTGGTCTCCGTGGCCCAACCGGCCCCCGCCTCCACAGCCCCAGCTCCAGACGGCTCCGTCGGCGGCAAGGGTGAGGCTGTGCAGACCTCCAGCGGACACACTCACGGCACGCTCACCGCCCAGCGGGGAAGGGAGGCGGGTCGGTGTGTTGAGCTGCGTCCAGCTATCGCCGTGCCCGAGCAGTCCCGGCATCCAGCTCTCAGCCTTGCCGCACGACAAGAGCCGCCCCTCGCCGTCGATGAAGAGGCTGTGCAGCATGCCTCCCGCAACCCTCGCCGGCGGGTTGGACTCGCGCAGCAGCGCCGAATAGCACAGCCACCGCACGGCACAGCTCTCGCCCTCTGGCTGCGCCGGCGGCTCGAAGCCGCGCTCTTGCGCCCACAAGCGGATGCCCTCCAGCGCAAGCGAGGCGTGGAAGAGAAGCGAGACGGCCGCGACGCGAGCGATGTCGGCGGGGTCGCAGTGAGAGAGGGCGCGCACGAGGAGGTCGGTGGGGAGGTCGAGGAGGTGGGCGGGCGGCGGCGTGCCTGGCGAGGGAGCGGCGGCGGAGGCGGAGGCGCGGCGGCGCGAGCGGCGGCGCGGCGGGGTGGACATCGCGAGCAAAAAGACTTTGAAATCCCGCACGGGAAGGGGGGGGGGGGGGCGAGCGGCGTTGTGAAGTAAATAAATAAACAAAGAGTCGTGAAAAAATCCAAAATCAATAAATAAAACGGACATCCCAAGCTATAGGGCTGGGTCGAACAGACACGTCCCCACCTTTGGCTTTGCAGGATTTTGCAAAAGGGAGGGGGGAGGGCGCATCGCCGCGCGGAGAGGGCTGGGCACAGGCAGGGCACAGAATGAATAAAGTGCAGTAGAAACCCAAACACACACAGCACGTGGCATATAGCATATAGCTTAGGAGAGCAGGAGGTGAAAGGAGGTCAGCACAAAATAAAGAAATAAAAACGCACCGGGCCTTTCCCTGCGAACACCCCCCCCCCCCTAGGGGTCAGGGCTCTCTAGCCCGTAGCCCGATGCCGATCGTCCGGCCCGCTGGGTGCGCTTCTTAGCTCCCCGGGGATGTGAGGTTACTGAGCCCTGGCCTCGGCACCTCGACACCCCATGCCAACTCGACCAACTCGACACCCCTCGACACCCCTCGACACCATCTAGGCTGGGACCATGCTCGTCCGTGTCAAGGTGCCAAACTCGACACCTCGACACCCCTCGACACCCCTCGACACCGCTCGACACCGCTCGACACCGCTCGACACCGCTCGACACCGCTCGACACCACCTCCACACCTCTGATGATCCTAACACAGCAGAGACGTAGACCCATTGGAGTCACAGAGTTAGAAAATCAGGGTTGCAGCAGCAATCAAACTTGGCTGGCAGTACTTTCATCCCTCAGTTGCAGCCTCTTAAGTTCTAGCTCAAGTTGCAGCTCAGTTGCACACCCCTGCAATGACCAATGTAGCGACCATGGCAGTACTCAGCAACTCAGGTAGCCCTCAGGTGCTGCACAGCACCTTGTACAGTGGCAATGAATCCTCACACCAGTGAGCTTGTGCCATGAGTGCGGACCTGTGGTCCACATGCGCTTTGTGCACCGGCGACGCTGCAATGGCGACGCTGGCAGCGGCGGCGACGCTGCTGCGATGGGGTACTGTAGCCCTTAGCTGCTGGACAGCACCTTGTGCAGTGGCAATGTCCACTGACTCATGGCACCAGCCTGTGCCAAGAGGGCTGTGGTCAGTTGCGCTTTGTGCGCCGGCGACGCTGCATGCAGCGGCGATGACGCTGCAGCGGCGACGCTGCTGCATGGGGTGTGCTGTAGCCTTAGGTGCTGCGCCTGCACAGCACCTTGTGCAGTGGCAATGACTCCTGGCACTAGTGAGCTTGATGTCCTCAATTGTCCACAGAGTATACTGGTTGTGCTCACACTCAGGTTGTGCTACATCAACAGGGGTGCAACTTTGAGAGGCTGCAACTAAGGGATGAAACAGCTTTGCAGCTGCTGCCCAAGTTTTGTTATGGGCTGCAACTGCATCCTGCCACCTTGGATACCTCGACACCTTAGACGCTAAACACCTTGACAACACTTGACACCCGCTCGACACGCTCGATACCCTCGACACCCTCAACACCACTCCTCGACACCTCGACACGGACAAGCATGGTCCCAGGCTAGACAGGCCTCGACAGGCCTCGACAGGCCTCGACAGGCCTCGACACCTCTATCCCTCGACAGCAGCTCGACACCCTCGACACCGGGCCTCGACACCTCGACACCAGGGCTCAGGTTACTAACTGCACTCCAAGTGCTCCAAGGACACCTCCCTACTGCGAGATGCGTAAAAAGGAACAGGTCCCCGCCCGTGCGATCTTTGTGCAGGGTTCTTTGTGGGTGTGGTCGGCGACTAGCAGGGGTCGTGACGTCCTCCCGGTGGGGGACTAGCACTAGCCGTCTTCCACATTGTCCCTCGGGTCCCTGCTGCTCCTAATCTCTTCGTACATCCTCCTGCTGATCTCCGCAACGTCCTGCTCCCTCCCTCGTCTCGCCCTGCGCGTCTGCTCCGCCTCACCGTCGTCTGCCCTGCGTCGTCTGGTGACGGGTCCTCCATAGTCGGTTGAGGTCGCCCGTCCGGCGCTGCCGGTGGGGTGCGCAGCTGCTCGTGCAACACACACACACTCACAAACCGCCCCCCAGGCTAAAAGAGGAGTCGAATCCCCGCCGCCCCGTGCGAGCATCGGCTCCCTTCCTCCTCTACCCCGCCTCCTCGTGACATAAATGCAAACCTCGGCCAAGCTCAACGAGGAGAAGGCGCCCGGGTGCGCGGACGGGTGCAAGAGCGTGATAACCTGCTGGAAGCCCTGCCTCTACTCCCAGCCGCAGATCGCGCTCGCGCCGCTCGTGAAGACACAGGCCGCGTGCGTCACGGGCGTCAAGGAGCCGCAGCCCCTGGCGTACGCGCCGGGCACGGGCCGCTTCGTGATCGGCTTCTGCGGCTCCGGCACCGGCCACCTCACTCAGTCGCTCGCGGTGCTGCGCATGCTGCAGGCCCGCGGGATGACGCTGGCGGGCATCGTCTTTGACACCGACGCGACTCAAAAGATGGTCCAGGCGCGACCGTCCGCCGACGCGCGCACGCACGCACGCAGCACGCACGCACGCACGCACGCACGCACGCACACAGCAGCCTCGAGCGGCAACGGCGATGCTAACCTCTCACCGTCCAAGTCAAGCACCGGCCAAGTCCAAGCCCGGCAGAGACCGATCTTTCGAGAGTTCACCGAGAGACAGAGCTGCCGCGTGCTGACAGAGATGCGGAGAGATTCGCAGTTGGCTGTTAGATGGATAGAGAGAGAGCGAGCGAGCGAGAGCGAGAGCGAGAGCGAGAGCGAGAGCGAGAGTGAGAGTGAGTGAGTGAGAACGAGAGCGAAGACGAGAGCGAAGAGAGGGAGAGAGGGAGAGAGGGAGAGAGCGCGAGCGAGCGCGAGGCTCTGCTGTCTCTCGGCCTGCGCAGGAGACGCTCGAGCCGCTGGGGGTGCCTCTGCTGCAGCTGCCCGCGATCAAGCTGGCGCGCTCAGAGACGACCCGCAGGCGACCCGCCAGCGACGCGGAGCAGCGCGCATCCACGCCGCCCCATCGCGCGCACAGGTGGACCCGAAGAAGGGGATGGTGCCGACGGTCGTCACGCTGCACTCGGTCATCACCGGGGTGCTCTCACCACTGCACCCCTCTCCTTGCTGCTACCCTCTCACCACTGCCACCACCTCTCATCCCGCCACTGCCACCCTCTCACCACTGCCACCCTCTCACCACTGCCACCACCTCTCATCCCGCCACTGCCACCCTCTCACCACTGCCACCAAGAACACTCGCGGGCTCACGCCCTCGGGACGCGGGACCCGCCTGTCTGCATCTCCCGTGCTCGCCTCCTCGCGCCCACAGCCCATGCGGCACTGGTGCTCACGCGGAGTCGCCCCACTGGCCATGCTGCGCCGGTGCCGGTGCCGGTCCCTCTCTCCCCGCGGGAGCTGGAGTCGCCTGCCACCTGTGGACACTTCCTAGACACTTCCTGGACACTTCCTGCCCACCTGTGGCGGCTGCGCTCTCCGCCTCTTTGTCCCTCCTCCCGCCCACGCCTCCGCCCTTACTGCGCAGGTGGGGAAGCTGCGCGGCATGTACCCGCAGCTCGTCTCCTTCTTTGTCGACGCAAAGGCCGAGTACATCTTCAACTTTTGGCGCGCGGCACGCCCGCCCACCCGCCGCCTCGACATCCGCCCAGAGCGAGGACGGGGGCCTCGGCCGCCCGCGCTTCGGCTCACACACACGCGCTGTCGCCTGGCCGCGCCACCGCCCTCGCCCCCACCGCCCTCGCCACCGCCCTCGCCACCGCCCTCGCCGCCACCCTCGCCCCCGCCGCCCTCCCAGCTGCCGCCCTCGCCGCCTCCACCATCAGCCCCCCGCCCTCGCCCCCGCCGCCATATCGCAGCCGCCCTCCCCACCGCCGCCGTCGCCGCCGCCCTCGCCGCGCAGGCACACCACGCTCGCCTTCTTTTTGCGCTCCCACCCGCCGCCGCCCGGCGTCCGCATCTCCAACGTGGCGCCGCAGTTCGCGCTGTCCTCGCTCGACGTGCGCGATCTCGGCTTCTGGGAGATTGTGGGCAAGTCGACCATCGACGCGATGGCGGCGCTGATCGCGCAGACGGGCCCGTGCCTCTCGCTCTCCGCGCGGCCGCAGCCAAACTCGCTGCCGCCCATCCTGGAGGCGAGGGGGAGAGGGAGAGGGCGGGGGGCGGGGGGTGAGAGGGCGAAGGGTGGGGGGGGGTGGGTGGGTGGGGGGGGGGAGGGGAGGGGGGAGAGGGGAGGGGAGAGAGGGGAGGGGAGAGAGGGGAGGGGAGAGAGGGGAGGGGAGAGAGGGGAGGGGAGAGAGGGGAGGGGGACGACGCGCGCGGCTCCCAGCGCGCAGCGCGTGCGAGGGACGAGCGGTGCGCTTCCGCGCTAGGTGCCTGCGGCAGTCACCTCCTTCTCGTCGCGCCTGATCCTGTGCTACTTCCTCGCGCAACCCGACGCGGTGCTCCTGCCCTCCCCTTGCCCCCCCCCCCCCCACCCTTCCCTCCCTCTCTTCTCTTCCCTCCTTCCCTTCGCTCCCTCCTCTTTCCGCCCTCCCCTTCCCTCCCTCCCCTTCCCTCTCCTCCCCCTCCCTGCCCTCCCCTGCCCTCCCCTGCCCTCCCCTGTCCTCCCCTCCCCTGCCCTGCCCTGCCCTCCCCTGCCCTCCCCTCCCCTCCCGAAAGAGTCCGGTGCCCACTCCGGTCCTCCCTGCCTGTCTTCCTATCTCCCCGCATCTCCCCGCATCTCCCCGCATCTCCCTGCATCTCCCCGCATCTCCCCGCACCGTCAGCTTGCCCTCCTTCGCCGTGGGCCGACTCGGCAGGTGCGGCTCGAGCGGCTGCTCGCCCAGTTCTCAATCTCGGGCGTCGAGATTCACTGCTTCACGACCGCGCCGCTCACGCCGCCGGCGGGGCGACCCCTCGCGCTCGAGTCGCACGCAAAGCAGCGCGCCCTCTTCAAGCACTACTTTGACCGCTGCACCGGTGCGACACGCCGTAGGAGCACACACAGAAGCGGCCCGGGGGAGGCCGACCGCCCTCTCGACCGACCGTTCTCCCGCGGCGCCTCCCTCGGCGCTTGCAGGGATCATCTGCTCGACCGGCAACGAGACCATCTGGGAGGCCGTCTGCCGCGGCGTGCCCGTCTTGACGGTGCCGACCAGCGGCCACCCGGAGCAGATGATGAATGCGCGCATCCACGGGCGCGCCTTCCCCGCGTCGGTGCGGGCGGTCTCGCGCGTCCGCATCGAGGACGTGCGGTGGCTGGTCGACTTCAAGCCGTCGGAAGAGAGCATCGCCGAGAGCAGCGCGCTCCGCGAGCGCGCCACCACTTTCGACGCCGAGGGCGCGCGGCTGCTCTGCGGCGCGTGAGCCGGGCGGAGGGAGAGAGGAGTGTGCGACACCGCGGCCAGGAAATACGCGCCGGGCGGGCGGGGTGTGGGGGTCCTGGGGGGGGGCGCGGCAGATATTCCATACGAGAGAGAGGCCGCTGTAATCCACATTGGGGTGTGGTCTCGTCGTACACATGAACAAATTGATACACACAAGATCACGAGAACAGATCACAGCGCAATGCGCGAATGAAGAGACATCCCTCACACTTCATCTTCAAGATCGTGTGCAGGGCGGGGACACACATGAGACAACATGATACTGTCCCTAAAAAAAGGCACAGGCACGTACACGAGTCTAGATCGAGAGCCGCGCCGTGTGACTGCGAAGAGAGTGCTGCTGCGTGCTGCCTGGAGCTGCGCCTAGCTACTCTGGCGGCGGCGGCGGCAGGCAGACCTTGAGGCTGTTCTTAAACCCGCTAAGCAGGGCCTCCCTTTGCTGCTCCACCGCCCGATCGAAGCGCTCGCGCAGCCTCGCCACCATGCTGCGGTTGGCCCGTGCCACCGCGGCGCCGTGCGCCGCCCCATCCTCGACGTCGCCGCTGTCGTCGCCGGCGTCGCGCTTGGCGCCAGGCTTGCCGCTGCCCGCCGAGAAGGCGCTGACGGGCGCCATGAACAGATCAGCGAGGTAGTTGAACTCGAGGTCACGGCGCGAGATGCACCGCGTCGTCACGTCGAGGTGGTTGCCCTCCATGGTCATCGTGAGGGCGGCGGGGCCGTGCATCCCGTCCACATCCTTGGTCTGGACCGACTTGAACGAGTTGAGCGCGCGGTCGCCGAGCAAGGACACGTCGTCCTGCATCATCTCGCGGTAGTTGCCGTCGCGGAAGATCGCGATGGCCGAGTCGACCTCCTTGTACTTGTCGAAGCGCGCCTTGAGCGCGTCGAGGTCCACGCCTGGGAGGGCGCGCCGCTCGATGAGCTTCTCGCCCGAGCTCTGCAGCCCGAGGACCATCATGAAGCCGAAGAACTCGCCACGCTCCGACGCCTTGACGAGGAAGATGGAAGGGGCGCCGCCCGGGCCGCGGTAGTGCCGCGCCGGCGGGTCGTTGCCGCCCCACCCGCCCCACAGGATCTTGACGCAGTGCTGGAAGGCCTTGATGCGCTGCGTCGCCTTGACGATCGCAACCTCGACGATCGGGCTGTCGGCCTTGAACATGCCGAGCCCGCTCATGCCCTCCTTGACCACGAGGTACGGAAGCGCCTCCTCGGGCAGCGTGCGGCACTTTTGGACCAGCTCGCGGATCGCCGCCTTCTCCGCCTCGCCCTCCGGGTCGCCGTCCTCTCGGCCGGCGAGGTCGCCCGACTTGAGGTAGGTGGGCATCAGGAGCAGCACCTCGGCGGCCTGCCGGAACGTCATGCCAAACTCGCCCGCCATCGTCCGCATTAGCCCCGGCAGCGGCTCGGGCGCCGGCGGGTCGATCATCGTCAGCCGGCGAGGGTTGCCACCAATCTCCTGGCAGGTGCACACACAGCGGTGCGCGAGCGAGCCGCCGAGCGACGCGCCAATCATGTCGAAGGGCTCGTCGCCGATGTGCTCGATCAGCTCGCGCGCGTAGCGGTCGGCCAGCTGCTGCGCGTCCCGTAGGTCGGAAAAGTCGACGGGCGTGTCGCACAAGCCCACGTGGCGCAGGCAGAGCACCTCGCGGTCCTGGTTGGCGGTCTGATAGAAGCGCTCGTACCCCCCCTCGTCGCCCATCACCGAGTGCATGATCACGAGCCGTGGCGTCACACGCGGGTCCCAGCCCTCGGGCGCCGGCCGGAGCCGCCACAGCGCCTCGCCGATGCACTTGCCTGCGCCGCCGCCCCAGTCGTACTTGAGCTCCTTGTCGCCGCCGCCCGCCGGAGGCGCGGCGCCCGGCGCGCCCCCGCCCGCCTCCGCGCCGGCCTTAGGCTGCCGCTTGCGCCACGCCTCCACTTGCTCCTCGCCGGCGGCGCCGTCCGGGGTTCGCGAGGCGACGTAGCCCTCGAGGCCACGCAGCGTCGGGTAGTCGTAGATGAGCGTCTCGGGGAGCTGGCCGATCTCGTTCTGGACGCGCGTGCCAAACTCGAGGGCGCCGAGCGAGTCGAGTCCTGCCTCGAGCAAAGGCGTGTCGGGGTCCACGTCGCCAATCACGTCCGCCGCGACCTCGCGCAGCTTCACCGCCGCGGCCGCGCCGTAGAGCTCGGCCTTGGAGCCCGCGCCGGTGCCGCTCGAGCTGTCGCGTCCAGTGATCAGCTTTGCGTCGGCCTGGATCATCATCCGAGTCTGCTTCCACGCGAGGAGTACGCCAGGCACCAGCTCGCGGCCCTGTAGCAAGTCTGCCCACTGCGGCGGCATCACGGTGATTCTGGGCGCCGCGTACGGAAGCATGAGGATGCCGAGGCACTGCCACGCCACATCGTACGGGATGGCCTCCAGGCCGTGGGCGCCTGCGCCCGGCGAGGGCGGTTCGCCAGCGGAGCCCGAGAGCACACCCACCGTGCCCGTGTATCCGCCCCACAGCGTGCACTGCCCCGCGACGCCCGCGCCGCGTCGGGCCGAGGCGAACGCGTCGAGCCACGCGCTGGCGGCGGCGGCGGCGGTCTGGTTTTGCGGGCCGGCGAGGCTGGCCGATGAGCCGTATGCGTTGAAGTACGGCAGTGGCGCGTCGGCAGTGGCCGCGTGCAGAGCGCGCGCGCCGTGCACCTTGGGCGCGAAAGCGGCGAGCAGGGCGCCGGGCGATTGGGCAGCGAGCGCAATGTTGGAGGCTCTGAAGGGGACGGGGCTCATGTGGAGCACTCCCACGACGCGCGGCATGGCAGCGCGCACAGCGCGGAGCAGGCCCGCCACGTCGCGGTCATCGGCCGTGTTGATGGCAATGTGGTGCACCAGCACATCATCCGCGCCAGCCGTGCGAGTTGCCGCGGGGGGCCGCAGCGAGTCAGCGCCCCCCCTCGGTGCCAGCCACGCAGGGCTGATGGATGCGCCCTCCGCGGCGAGGACCAGGTTTCGCGCGCCGTGCTCGACCAGGAATTGCGCGCTCAGCTGGCCGAGCGGCGTGCCGCCACCAGTGAGCATATGCACGCCATCCGAGAGGGCCCCAGCGCGGTCGACGCTCATCGCCATGTGGACCGCGAGCTGCTCTGCCCTGCGGCGGCGTGTTGTGAGCGAGCAGATGCCCACCATCACCGCCTGCTGCACGAGCGGGCCCTCGCCCCGCATCGGACATGCCATCTGGAAGCCAGCGTCCGAGAGGAGCGAGCGCCAATGTTCCCACGACATCAACGGCGAGTTGCCCCTCATGCGCTCCGGGTCGATCTCAAAGAGCCACCAGCCGTCGGTCAGGCCAAAGGTGATTTGTGCGAAAGCGTTGGTCACCAGGACCTCGTTGACGACCAGCGCCCCTCCCGGCTGCAGCAGCTGGCGGCTGTGGCGCAGCGTGTTTTTGATGAAGGGCGTCGCGTGCAGCACGTTGGTCGAGATGGCCACGTCGTACGAGTGCGAGGCGAACCCTTGCAGCCGAGGATCGGCGTCGATGTTGAGGAGTGCGTACCACATGAAGTGCGCGTACTCTTTGAATCGCGCCTTGGCCTGCACGAGAAAGATCTCCGAGACGTCCGTGAACGCATACTTGGCGCAGGCGCCGTCCACAGCAGGCAAGATCGTCGACGCCGTGCCGCCGGTCCCGGCCCCGATCTCGACTATGCTCAGCAGCTGGCCAGGGGCAAGCTGCCCCTTGATGGCCTCCACCGCGGCCTCCACGCAGCGGTTGTAGTAGGTGCCGGCAATGGAAGTCTCGTACACGGGCAAGACAAGATCTAGGGAGCCGCCCGGGAAGAGCAAGTTCTGGTAGGTGACGCCGTTGTTTCCCGTGAGGACATCGCGCAGCGCGGGGCCGCAGCGCTCGGCAAGAACCGCCTCGGGCCAATCCGAGCGGTCCTCACCGCAAAGCTCTTCGATGGAGAGGCGGCTGGTGGGCGGTGGCTGCGCCTTGCACCACTGGAAGAGCGTCTTGTGGTGCCACTTGACCACGTCGGCACCATCAAGCCCGTCGACCGCATCGGCAATGTACTGCTGGCAAAGGCGTTCCACCGCCATGCCCTTGCGCAGGAGCGAGTCGAAATCGAGCGCGGTGTTTGCCTCGGCCACGTGATCCCCGAGCCGCTGGACGAGCGCCTCCGCGTCGATCGCAAAGCCGTTGGCGTGGCGGGCGGCAACCAGCCGCGGGACCAGGAGCGCCTCACCGCGCATCGCCGCCTCGGGCTCGATCGATGGCCTCGTCGCGAGGCCAAACACGTGTCCCGTGTTGAGCGCCAGCTTGTTCACCTTGAGGCAATTGACGAGCATCGACTTGCTATCCTCCATGCTTGCCGCCGTGCGATCCAGGTCCAAGCACCACAGGGGCAGCTGCGGCAGCTCTTGCTGCACTGCGCGGGCCAAGCCAATGAGGCCCGAGTGCGTGCAGCAGGCCGCGCCCGCCTTGCTCGGTGGTGATACACCGAAGGTGCAGACCCAGAGCGGCACGGAGGCGGTGACAGCATGCGTGTGGCGTAGAGCGCACAACGCCCTGGCCAATGCGGGAAGCTCGGCGTCAGCGCGGCCCGAAGCCGCCAGAATGATTGCATGCCACGGGCCACCCTGAACAAGCCTCGACTCTCCGTCCGCATGCGTCTGGAGCTGGAAGGCGGAGAGCGCCGCAGACAGTCGCTTCGCATGCCCGATCAGAAGCAAGTCCGGCAGGGCGAGTAGGTTGACCGACTGAGTGCCAACCTTTGAGACGTCGCTCGTTTCGAAGCTCGACCACTCCGCAGCGTAGGTGTCGACACGAAGCGGGGAAACTGCAGGCTCTTCAGCGTCACGGACGGTCTCACGGACGGTCTCGAGCAAGAGCTCGCCCTCATGAATGTCGGCGTCTTCAGGCTCGAGCGTCCGTTGCCTCGTCATCGCCGCTCCTCGCAGCACGGACGCGCTCTCGCCACCAGTCGTCGGGGCCGGCATTTGCCACGTGAACGGCTTGCGCGAATACGCCGGGCCGCCGTGCGGAGGACGACGGTGCATGGCTGTGTCTACGGCGCCCTCGAGAACTGCATGCACGATGGTGCCACTGTACCCGAATGAGCTCACGCCGCCCCGCCGCATCGTCGCGGGGTCAACCGAGGGCAGTGAGGCAAGCTGCGTTGGCTTTGCGCAACGGAGCCGCACGCCTTCGAGTGCCGAGCTCACGTGTGGGTTTAGCTGTCGAAGCTGCGCGTTGGGTGGCGCCTGTGACGCGTTGAGGCCAGTTGCCAGCCGCAGCAACCCTGTCGCACCGGCTGCTGGCTCGGCGTGGCCCGTGTTCGCCTTGACACTGCCCAGCAACAAGGGCGAGCTGCCGGCACGGGCGGAGAGCACTGCGGAGGCAAGTGACCCAGCCTCGATTGGGTCGCCGAGTGCCGTGCCTGTGCCGTGGGCTTCAACGCACGAGAGCTCAGCGGGCAAGACCTCAGCGTCGACAAGCGCCGCCTTGTAGAGAGACTGCTGAGCCATCCCGTTGGGCGCAGTTAGGCTCGCGCTCTTGCCGTCTTGGCGGACGCAGCTGCCAATAACCACCAGCTTCTCGACGCCCTTGTCGACGCAAATCACGGCCGCGCAGCATGCTTCGCCACGAGCGTACCCATCGGCACGCTTGTCGAACGTCTTGCAACTCCCCGTGGCGGAGGTCATCCCAGCGGTGGCAAAGGTGATCCCGACTTGAGGAAGGAGCATCATGCTGACGCCGGACATCAAGGCAGTAGGGCATTCGCCGTATTGAAGAGCACGAAGCGCAGCGTGGTTGGCGGCGAGCGTGGCGGAGCACGCAGTGTCGTACGAGCAGCAAGGGCCCTGCAGGCCGAGCACGAACGAGATGCGTCCCGCAGCGATCGAGAGCGACGCGCCAGTCGCGGCGTACACGCTACGCGCCATCTTCGAGGCCTTAACCACGTCGGCCCAGTCGTTGGCAGCGATGCCAAGAAACACACCGGTAAGGCTGCCAGAGAGCGCCGCCTTGTCGAGGCCAGCGCCGTGGAAGGCCTCGTAGCCGTACTCCATCAGCAGACGCTGCTGCGGGTCCATCGCGATGGCTTCGGCAGGCGAGACGCTGAAGCGGGCGTTGTCGAAGAGCTCAGCTTCCCGCAGGAAGCCGCCGTGGCGCACGCGCTGGCCGATGACCTCACCAAGAGTGTCGGCATCTGCAAGTGACCAGCGCGCAGGCGGAACCTCGCTGATGGCGTCGCCGCTGCAGGCCGCAATCTGCCGCAGCTGCGACGGCTTCGTGATTCCGAGCGGAAGGTTGGCGCTGAGGCCGTAGGCCTTGACCTGCGCCTCGAGGTTCACGGCCGCCTTGGGCGCCAGGCCGTCGCCAACGGCGGCGTCGTCGGTGCCGTTGGCCTTGTCGGCCTCCTCCTTGAAGTAGCCCGCCAGCTGGCGCGCCGTCGGGTAGTCGAAGATGAGCGTCGACGGCAGCGTCATGCCCGACTGCGCCTGCAGCTGGTTGCCGAGCTCGACCGCGCCGAGCGAGTCGAGGCCAGCCTCCATCAGCGGCGCGTCGGGGTCGACCTCGCTGCCCGTCGTCGACTTGAGCGTGTCCTGAATCATCTCGAGCGTGACCTCCTTGACCTCGCCGCCGCCGCCGCCGGCCGCGACCGCACCCTTGCGGCTCGCGTAGTTGGCCAGCAGCGGCGGCACCTCTGGGAGCAAGCTGAGGAACTTGCTCCAGGTGAGCACCACCAGGCTCATCACGCCAGACACGGCAGGCTGCAGCGTCGCCTGGAAGGCCAGCGTGCCCTGCTCCAGGCTGACGAGGCCGATGCCACCGGCCTGGATGCGAGCGCTGATCGACTCGTCCGCCGCCATGCCGATGGCCGCCCACGGGCCCCACTCCACCGACGTCGCGTTCATGGCGCGCGTCCGCCGGCAGGCGCCGAGCGAGTCGAGCATGCCGTTGGCGGCGGCGTAGTTGGACTGGCCGCCGCCGCCAATCAGAGTGGCGATGGACGAGAAGAGCACGTACGTGTCGAGCGGTGACGTCGCGGCCGCCTGCTGTAGCGCCCACGCGCCGGCAACCTTGGGCGCGAAGACGCGCTTCACCGTGGCCGACGACTGCGCGCGCAGCAGCCCGTCCGACAGCACGCCCGCCGCGTGCCACACGCCCGCCAGCGTGCTGCCCTTGGCCAGGATGGCGCCGACCGTGCAAGCCGTGTCCGTCAGCTCGGCCGCGTCGCACTTGACCACGCTGAAGCTGCACTCGGCGATCTTCCTGAGCTTCTCGCCGTCCGCGGGGGCGACCTTGCCGCCGCGGGCCGCGAGCACCACCGAGGAGGCGCCGCCCTCGCCGAGCCACTTGCCCGTGACGAGGCCGAGGCCGCCCGTGCCGCCAGACAGCAGGTGGGTCCCGCGCGGCGGCGTCGGGGCCGTCTTCGGGATGCGCACCACCACCTTGCCGGTGTTGGCGCCGCCCTGCAGCGTGCGGAAGGCGGCCAGGACGTTCTTCTCGAGGTCGAAGAGCTCCATGGGCAAGCCGTGGAGCACGAACGCATCCGCGCGCGCAGACAGCGTCCGCAGCGTGCCGCACATCCACCACGGCGTCTGGTCGATCGTCGAGTCGAGCGCGATCATCGTGAAGTGGTTGCAGCACGCCGCCTCGTGCCGCTCGTAGCTCCATACCGCCCGCTTGCCGATCTCGCAGAGCTTGCCGTCCTGCCGCAGCAGCGCGAAGGTGCACGCGATGAAGTCCGCCGACAGGCTGTTGAGCGAGAAGCGCAGCCGGCCGGAGCGAAGCAGCTTCGACGCGCCCAGCGCAAAGGCGCCGCCGTCGCGCGAGCTGAGCGTGCGGCCGGCGAGGCCCATCTTGTGCAGGTAGAAGTGCTTGTACGGCCGGCCGACGTTCGCCATCGCGCGGTTGCCGATGAAGTGGCAGTACTCTTGCGAGGTCAGGCCGACGCCGCCCGCGCCAGCGTGCAGAAGCACGTCGTGGCCAGCCGCCGGCCGGGCCGCGAGCAGCGACATGTGCACCGTGCACCACGTCGTCGGCAGCGTGCAGGCCTGCTCGAACGAGAGCGAGTCGGTGATGGCCGCCATCAGGCGCGCGTCGGACTTGGACAGGGAGGCGAGCGCAGCCAGGCCGTGGCCAAGCGCCGCGTCGCCGACCCTGACGTGCGAGACTCCGGTGCCAGCCGCGGTGATGTGCACCGCGCAGTCACCGCCGGGAGGGCCTGGGTCGCCGGGGTACACGCCGAGCACGTTGAGCACGTCGCGGAAGTTGAGGCCGACCGCGCCGACGTGCAGCTTGACCTCGCCGTGGACCGGCTCGGAGTCGTCCTCCTCTTGCGAGACCACCCGCAAGTTGCTGACGGCGCCGCGGGCGTCGAAGTAGAGCCTGATCGGCCCGCCCAGCGAGCCGGCCGCCTCGGTCAGGCGCGGCACGCGCTGGCTCGAGCCATCAAAGGCCATCTCTGGCTCGGGCGTGCCGTTGTAGCCGAGGCCGAGCCTGCTGGCCAGCTTCGACACCGCCGCCAGCTCAGTCATGCCCGGACGGAGCACGTCCAGGTCGATGATCGGCAGCTGCGACTGCGGCGCCTCGGAGCGCGCCTGGCGGGTCAGGCCCATCAGGCCCGCGTGGCTCGAGACGCCGGCGCCGCTCGAGCGGGCCGCGAGGGCGCCGGCCGAGACCACCCACATCGGCGGCGTCGAGCGCGTGATCGTGTGCGTGCGCGCGGCGTCAAACGCAGCCACCAGCCCGGCGAGCGAGTCGGAGGCCTTGGCGCCGGCGCCCAGGCCGACGGCGTACACCACCGCGCCGATCGACGCCGACGGAGCCGCCGCCGCGGCGCCGGAGCCCGACGCGACGCCGAGCGGAGGCGAGGCGCACATCACGAGCGCCGCCCCGGCGTCCTCGGCGGCCGGAACCGTCGCAGCCTGCCACGACGTGACGTACAGGTGCGTCGACTTGCGCGCCGGAGCCGCCGCCGGCGCCGCCTTGAGCACGCGCGTCTCGAAGTTGGTCAGGCGCGCGCCGGGCGAGTCCTTGGCCGCCTTGGCGTCCTTGGCCCCGATCCACACGCCCGTCATGTTGGCGCCCTGCCGCTCCGCCACCGGCCAAGGAGAGCCGCTCACGTCCGTGAGCGCCGCCTCGCCGACCGAGAAGGGGAGCCGGGTCTCGCCCGCCGCGGTCGTCTCGGCTAGGAGGGCGGTCAGGTGCAGCGAGCCGTCGAGGTCGGCCGGGTGCACGCTCGTGCCCTCCTTGCGCTGGCGGCGGCGCAGCTGGCCGACGGCCACGCCCGCGTCGCGCGAGACGCGCGCCGAGGTGAGCGTGCGGTACTCGGGGCCGTACTCGAGGCCGACCGAGCGGAAGCCCGCGTAGATGACGGCGGTGTCGACCGGCTGCGCGCACGACGCGCGCAGGCCGGCGTGCGAGAAGGCGGGCATCGCCTCCGAGAAGGTGGACGCGCCACCCGCGCAGTGCGACGTCTTGGTGCCCGCCTCGAGGTCCTCGGTGTTGACGTCGAACCGCTCGTCGGCCGCCGTGATGTCCACGCTGACCGTCATCGTGCTCAGGTCGCCGTCGAGCATGAGCGGCTGCAGGAAGAAGACGCGCGAGAGCTTGGCGCTCCTGGCGCCGCCCGAGAGCGAGACGGCGGCCGCGCGCGCCATCTCCATGTAGCCCGCGCCGGGGAAGATGACGCGGCCCTGCACGATGTGGTCCGCGACCACCGCAAGCAGCGCGCCCTTGGCCGGCGAGCGGAACGAGTCCTTCTCGTCGCCGTCGGCGTCGGTCGCGCGGCGCTGGATGAGAGGGTGCGGCGTCTCACGCCACGTGTACCGCTTCCTGACGTAGCCAAGCTCCGCAGTCGCGCCCTTCGCCGTGGTGAGCGCCGGCGTCGACTCCAGCACGGTGTGCACAATGGTGCCGCTGTAGCCAAAGGAGCTGACGCCGCCGACGTAGCCCGAACGGTCAGGTGCGCGCAGCAGGCCGCCAAGCTGTGTAGGCAACGCTGCTGACATACCCTTGAGCGCGGACTCGACGTGCTCGTTGATCACGCGGAGCTGGGCGTTTGGCGGAGATTCGGCTGATGCAAGTCCAGTCACGAGCCGGAGAAGGCCAGACGAACCGGCGGCTGGCTCCGCGTGGCCCGAGATGGCCTTGATGCTGCTGACGAGGAGCGGGTCGGTCGTGTTGCCGCGCGGCTTGAGCACGGCGCCCGCGAGCGAGCCAGCCTCGATCGGGTCGCCGAGCCCAGTGCCGGTGCCGTGCGCCTCGATGGCAGCCACCTCAGTCGGAGCGACCGACGCGTCCGCCAGGGCCGCGCGCAGCAAGCCTTGCTGCGCGACGCCGCTCGGGGCGGTCAGCGAGGCGGACTTGCCGTCCTGGCGCACGCTGCTGCCCAGGAGCGAGAAGTGCACGTTGCCATCAACCTCGTCCACGCGGAGCGCTGTGCCGCCGCATGCTTCTCCGCGCGCGTAGCCATCGGCGCGCTTGTCGAAGGTGTGGCAGTGGCCCTTGGCCGACGTCATGCCGGCGGTTGCGAAAGTGATGCCGACGCCAGGCATGAGGACTGTCCCAACGCCGATCATGAGCGCGCTGCTGCACTCGTTGAGCTGCAGCGCGCGGAACGCGGCGTGGTTGGCCGCGAGCGCCGCAGAGCACGCAGTGTCGTACGAGCAGCAAGGGCCCTGCAAGCCGAGTACGAACGAGATGCGTCCCGCAGCGATCGAGAGCGACGCGCCAGTCGCGGCGTACACGCTGCGGCCCATCGTTGAGTTCTTGACAACATCGCTCCAGTCCTGCTGGGCGATGCCGACAAAAATGCCCGTCAGAGTGTTGTTCAGCGCCGCCTTGTCCAGGCCAGCGCCGTGGAAGGCCTCGTAGCCGTACTCCATCAGCAGACGCTGCTGCGGGTCCATCGCGATGGCTTCGGCAGGCGAGACGCTGAAGCGGGCGTTGTCGAAGAGCTCAGCTTCCCGCAGGAAGCCGCCGTGGCGCACGCGCTGGCCGATGACCTCACCAAGAGTGTCGGCATCTGCAAGTGACCAGCGCGCAGGCGGAACCTCGCTGATGGCGTCGCCGCTGCAGGCCGCAATCTGCCGCAGCTGCGACGGCTTCGTGATTCCGAGCGGAAGGTTGGCGCTGAGGCCGTAGGCCTTGACCTGCGCCTCGAGGTTCACGGCCGCCTTGGGCGCCAGGCCGTCGCCAACGGCGGCGTCGTCGGTGCCGTTGGCCTTGTCGGCCTCCTCCTTGAAGTAGCCCGCCAGCTGGCGCGCCGTCGGGTAGTCGAAGATGAGCGTCGACGGCAGCGTCATGCCCGACTGCGCCTGCAGCTGGTTGCCGAGCTCGACCGCGCCGAGCGAGTCGAGGCCAGCCTCCATCAGCGGCGCGTCGGGGTCGACCTCGCTGCCCGTCGTCGACTTGAGCGTGTCCTGAATCATCTCGAGCGTGACCTCCTTGACCTCGCCGCCGCCGCCGCCGGCCGCGACCGCACCCTTGCGGCTCGCGTAGTTGGCCAGCAGCGGCGGCACCTCTGGGAGCAAGCTGAGGAACTTGCTCCAGGTGAGCACCACCAGGCTCATCACGCCAGACACGGCAGGCTGCAGCGTCGCCTGGAAGGCCAGCGTGCCCTGCTCCAGGCTGACGAGGCCGATGCCACCGGCCTGGATGCGAGCGCTGATCGACTCGTCCGCCGCCATGCCGATGGCCGCCCACGGGCCCCACTCCACCGACGTCGCGTTCATGGCGCGCGTCCGCCGGCAGGCGCCGAGCGAGTCGAGCATGCCGTTGGCGGCGGCGTAGTTGGACTGGCCGCCGCCGCCAATCAGAGTGGCGATGGACGAGAAGAGCACGTACGTGTCGAGCGGTGACGTCGCGGCCGCCTGCTGTAGCGCCCACGCGCCGGCAACCTTGGGCGCGAAGACGCGCTTCACCGTGGCCGACGACTGCGCGCGCAGCAGCCCGTCCGACAGCACGCCCGCCGCGTGCCACACGCCCGCCAGCGTGCTGCCCTTGGCCAGGATGGCGCCGACCGTGCAAGCCGTGTCCGTCAGCTCGGCCGCGTCGCACTTGACCACGCTGAAGCTGCACTCGGCGATCTTCCTGAGCTTCTCGCCGTCCGCGGGGGCGACCTTGCCGCCGCGGGCCGCGAGCACCACCGAGGAGGCGCCGCCCTCGCCGAGCCACTTGCCCGTGACGAGGCCGAGGCCGCCCGTGCCGCCAGACAGCAGGTGGGTCCCGCGCGGCGGCGTCGGGGCCGTCTTCGGGATGCGCACCACCACCTTGCCGGTGTTGGCGCCGCCCTGCAGCGTGCGGAAGGCGGCCAGGACGTTCTTCTCGAGGTCGAAGAGCTCCATGGGCAAGCCGTGGAGCACGAACGCATCCGCGCGCGCAGACAGCGTCCGCAGCGTGCCGCACATCCACCACGGCGTCTGGTCGATCGTCGAGTCGAGCGCGATCATCGTGAAGTGGTTGCAGCACGCCGCCTCGTGCCGCTCGTAGCTCCACACCGCCCGCTTGCCGATCTCGCAGAGCTTGCCGTCCTGCCGCAGCAGCGCGAAGGTGCACGCGATGAAGTCCGCCGACAGGCTGTTGAGCGAGAAGCGCAGCCGGCCGGAGCGAAGCAGCTTCGACGCGCCCAGCGCAAAGGCGCCGCCGTCGCGCGAGCTGAGCGTGCGGCCGGCGAGGCCCATCTTGTGCAGGTAGAAGTGCTTGTACGGCCGGCCGACGTTCGCCATCACGCGATTGCCGATGAAGTGGCAGTACTCTTGCGAGGTCAGGCCGACGCCGCCCGCGCCAGCGTGCAGAAGCACGGCGTGGCCAGCCGCCGGCCGGGCCGCGAGCAGCGACATGTGCACCGTGCACCACGTCGTCGGCAGCGTGCAGGCCTGCTCGAACGAGAGCGACTTGTCGATCGCCGCCAGCAGGCGGCCGTCGGACTTGGACAGGGAGGCGAGTGCAGCCAGGCCGTGGCCAAGCGCCCCGTCGCCGACCTTCAGATGCAAGACGCCAGCGCCGCGCGCGGCGATGATCGCCGCGCAGTCGGAGCCCGGCGGGCCCGGGTCGCCGGGGTAGGCACCGAGCACGTTGAGCACGTCCCGAAAGTTCAGGCCGACGGCCTTGACGTGGAGGCGCGTCTCGCCCGCGACGGTCTCCTCGTCCTCCGCGCCAATCTGTGGCACGATGCGCAGGTTGCTCACCGCGCCGCGCGCGTCAAAGTGCATCCGGATCGGGCCGCCGAGCGACTGCGCCGCCTCGACGAGGCGCGGCACGCGACACGACACGTCGGTGCTCACCGCAACCTCCGGCTCGAGCTTCTTGCCGGCGAGGGCTGCGCGCGAGACGGCGCCTAGCGCGTCGCAGACAGCGGGCCGTCCGGCGGAGGTGACGTCGAGGTAGGTGAGGTCGGCCGTCGGCTGCTCGGAGCGGACTGTGCGCGCGAGGCCGAGCAGCCCGCCGTGCAGCGGGTGCATCGCCTGGCCCGTGCTCACGGGCTGCGCGCCGAGCGTTGCAACAAACATCGGCACCGGCCGACCCGTGAGCTGCTGACGGCCAAAGTCGAAGGCGCCCTCCACCAGGGCGAGCGAGCCCGCACAAGCGGCGCCGTCGTCCAGCGCGACCGAAAAGACGACGCTGCCGACCGCCGCGGGCGCGCTGGCGCTGTTGAGCGGGCGGCCGAGGAAGGCGGCGCCCTTGCGGTTACTGCTGAGGGCGAGGGCGGGCGCTGACGGCCCCTCGGCCGCCGCTCCAACCGCGAACGCCTCCCACTGCGTAACGTAAGTGTGCTGCTGCCTCGTCGCGGTGGGCGTGGCCGCGCTCGCCTTGAGCACCTTGGTCTCGAAGCCGTCGAGCTTGGCCATGGCTGCGTCCGCCCCGCGCGGCGACACCATGGCGAGGCCCGCCTTGTCGCCCTGCCGCTCGACGACGACGCAGATCTTGCCCGTCGCGGCGGCGAGCGCCGCCTCGCCGACCGAGAAGGGGAGCCGCAGCTCGCCCTCCTTGGTCTCGGGCGCGAGTAGCACCGTCGCCTGCAGCGCGCCGTCGAGGTCGGCCGGGTGGACGCGCGTGCCGTGCCGCGCCGGCGCGGGCCGCTTCTTGAGCGTGGCAAATGCGACGCCGCTCTCCCAGTTGGCGAAGAGGCGGACGAGGGGCCGGAAGTCGGGGCCGTACTCGAGGCCCGCCGCGCGGAAGCCCGCGTACACAAATGCCGCGTCGATGACGCCGTAGCTGCCCCCGCGCGCGCCGTCCACGCTGGGCCCACTAGGCGGGGAAGCCAGGACGACAATGTCGCCCGCCGAGTGAGTCACCTTCTCGCCGTCCTCGCCCTGGCTCCCGATCTCGTACCGGTTGGCACCCGTGTCGAGCGAGATTGTCACGTTGAGCCCGTCCGTCGCGTCGAGCATCAGCGGCTGCAGAAAGAAGGCGCGGCGCACGGCCGCGGCCTTGGCGCTGCCCGCGACGCTGGCGAGAGCGGCGCACGCCATCTCGAGGTAGCCGGCGCCGGGGAAGACGATGTGGCCGCCGACGATGTGGTCCGCTATGAGGGCGACGAGCGACCCGCTCGCCGGCGAGACGAAGGAGTCCTCCGCCGCGCCGTCCGCGCCGACGGAGCGGCTCTGGATGAGCGGGTGCGGCACTTCGCGCCAGCCGTACCGCTTGCGGCAGTACTTGAGGCCGGGCACGGTGCGCACGTCCATCGGCGTCGAGAGGGCGGCCTGGACGACGGTGTGCACGATCGTGCCGCTGTAGCCAAACGAGCTCACGCCGCCCACGTACGCGTCGCCGCGCTGCGGGATCCGCGCGAGCGTCGAGAGCTGCGTCGGAAGCACGCACGAGGTGCCAGAGACCGCCGCAAGCACATGCTCGTTCATGACGCGGAGCTGCGCGTTGGGCGGCGCGTGCGCCGTCGCGACGCCGACGGCGAGGCGCAGCAGGCCCGACGCGCCCGCCGCCGCCTCGGCGTGCCCGCAGTTGGCCTTGATCGAGCCGACCACCACCGCGCGGTCGGAGGGGCCGCGATCCTTGAGCACCGCCCCCTTCATCGAGCGCATCTCGATGGGGTCGCCGAGCGCGGTGCCGGTGCCATGCGCCTCGACGGCGGCCACCTCGCGCGACGGCACGCCGGCGTCCTCGAGCGCCGCCTTGAGCAGGCTCGTCTGTGCCGCGCCGTTGGGCGCGGTGAGCGAGGCGGACTTGCCGTCCTGCCGCACGCAGGTGCCGAGCAGCGAGTACGACACGCGGCGGCCCTCCTTGGCGGGCTCAAGTAGGGTGGAGGTGAGCGCCTCGCCGCGGACGTAGCCGTCAGCGCGCGCGTCGAACGTGTGGCAGCGCCCGTGCGGCGATGTCATGCCGGCGGTGGCGAAGGTGATGCCGACGCCGGGCATCAAGACTTGCATCACCCCGACGCACACGGCGTTGACGCACTCGCTGCGCTGCAGCGCGCGCATCGCAGCGTGGTTCGCCGCGAGGGTGGAGGAGCACGCCGTGTCGTACGAGCAGCAAGGGCCCTGCAGGCCGAGCACGAAGGGCAGGCGCCCCGCGGCGATCGAGTGGCTGCTGCCGGTGGCGGCGTAGACGGAGCGCGCCATCGGCGAGCCCTTGATGACGTCGGCCCAGTCGTTGGCCGCGATGCCGACGAACATGCCCGTCACCGAGCCGAGCAGCTCGGCGCGCGAGATGGAGGACGCGTGCAGCGCCTCGTAGCTCGACTCGAGCATCATGCGCTGCTGCGGGTCCATCGCGGCCGCCTCGGAGGGCGAGATGAAAAAGTGCGCGTTGTCGAAGAGCTCGAGGTCCTTCATGAATGCGCCGTAGCGCGTCCGCTTGAGGATGGTCTCGTTGTCCACCACCGCCGGGTCGACGATCCAGCGCGCCGCTGGGATCTCGGTAACCGCGTCGCCGTTGGCGCCGACGAAGTTGGGGAGGCCAAGAGCTGACGTTTCACCGCCCGCTAGCCGGCAGCTGAGTCCACGGGCTGAGATTGTGGACGAGGCCCCCGGCGTAGGCATATCAGGACTCCCCTGCGGGACGCTGTCAGCTGATGCTTCACCTGCTTGGTCCAAGAAGTAGCCCGCCAGCTGGCGCGCCGTCGGGTAGTCGAAGATGAGCGTCGACGGCAGCGTCATGCCCGACTGCGCCTGCAGCTGGTTGCCCAGCTCGACCGCGCCGAGCGAGTCGAGGCCAGCCTCCATCAGCGGCGCGTCGGGGTCGACCTCGCCGCCGGCCGTCGACCGGAGCATCTCCTGGATCTTCTCAAGATTGACGAGCTTGGTGCCACTATCCTCTGTCTTAGCCACGGTGCTGTCATAGACCCTCCGTGAGGCGAACTTGCTCAGCTGCGCCGGAACCTCATTCATCAGCCCGAGGAACTTGGACCACTTGACCATCCACAGTGCGACGATGGACGGCGCTTGCGGCAGCAGCGTCGCCTGGAAAGTGAGTGCCCCATCGGCGAGGCCAATTAGCCCGATGCCCATTGCCTGGATGCGCGCGTTGATCGACTCGTCCGCCGCCATGCCGACGGCCGCCCACGGGCCCCACTGCACCGACGAGGCGATGAGGCCGTGAATGCGTCGCGAGCCTCCGAGCGAGTCGAGTGTGGTGTTGGCTGCGGCGTAGTTGGACTGAGCCGTCCCGCCGAGCAAGGCCGCGATCGAGGAGAAGAGAACGCACGCGTCAAGCGGCGAGGCGAGGGTGGATGCGTGCAGCGCCCACCCGCCGAATGCCTTGGGCGCGAAGACGCGCTTCACCGTGGCCGACGACTGCGCGCGCAGCAGCCCGTCCGACAGCACGCCCGCCGCGTGCCACACGCCCGCCAGCGTGCTGCCCTTGGCCAGGATGGCGCCGACCGTGCGAGCCGTGTCCGTCAGCTCGGCCGCATCGCACTTGACCACGCTGAAGCTGCACTCGGCGATCTTCCTGAGCTTCTCGCCGTCCGCGGAGGCGACCTTGCCGCCGCGGGCCGCGAGCACCACCGAGGAGGCGCCGCCCTCGCCGAGCCACTTGCCCGTGACGAGGCCGAGGCCGCCCGTGCCGCCAGACAGCAGGTGGGTCCCGCGCGGCGGCGTCGGGGCCGTCTTCGGGATGCGCACCACCACCTTGCCGGTGTTGGCGCCGCCCTGCAGCGTGCGGAAGGCGGCCAGGACGTTCTTCTCGAGGTTGAAGATCTGCATGGGCAAGCCGTGGAGCACGCTGGCCGCCGCGCGCGCTGAGAGCAGCCTCAGCACGCTGCTCATCCACGGCGGGCAGATGGCCATCGCGCTGTCGAGCGCGACCACGTCGTACTGTGCGTGGGTGGCGGTGGCGCGCTGGTCGTAGCTCCACACCGCCCGCTTGCCGATCTCGCTGAGGCAGCCCAACTGGCCGAGGAGGGCGAAGGAGCAGGTAATGAAGTCGAGCGAGAGGCTGTTAAGCACCCAGCTGAGCCGCGACTTGTACAGCAGCTTGGCCGCGCCGACGGCGAAGGCGCCGCCGTCGCGCGAGCTGAGCGTGCGGCCGGCGAGGCCCATCTTGTGCAGGTAGAAGTGCTTGTACGGCCGCCCGACGTTGGACATGACGCGGGTGCCGAGCCAGTGCGAGTACTCGCCCGCGGCGAGGCCGACGCCACCCGCGCCGGCGTGCAGCAGCACCTCGTTGCCGCCCTTTGGCCGCGCGCCGAGCAGCGACATCTGCACCGTGGACCAGGTGGTCGGCAGGGTGCACGCCTGCTCGAACGAGAGCGACTTGTCGATCGCCGCGGTGAGGCGGCCGTCGGAGCGGGCGATTGAGGCGAGCGAGCCCGAGGCCGCCTCGCCGAGCACCGCGTCGCCAATCTTCAGGTGCGTGAACCTGCTGGAGGAGCTCACCACGTGCGCCGCGCAGTCGGAGCCCGGCGGGCCGGGGTCGCCGGGGTAGGCGCCGAGCACGTTGAGCACGTCGCGGAAGTTGAGGCCGACCGAACGCACGTGCAGCTCCACCTGCGGGTGCTCGATGGCGGGCATCTCGCCCTGCGGCACGATGCGCAGGTTGCTGATCGCGCCGCGCACGTCAAAGTGCAGCCGGATCGGCCCCGTGGTCGACAGAGGCGCCTCGGCGAGGCGAGGCACGCGGCGGACCCGGACGCCCACGACGACCTCGAGCTCGAGCGTCTCGCCGCCGACGAAGCTGCTGCGCGAGACGAGGAGCAGCGCGTCGCCGACTGACTTGCGGCTGGCCGCCGCTACGTCGAGGCACGAGAGGCGGGCCGACGGCTGCTCCGACCGGACAGTGCGCGACAGGCCCATCAGGCCGCCGTGGGCGGGGCGCGCGGCGGTGGCGGTGGTGGCGTACTGCGTCCCCGCGGTGAGGAGGAAGGTGGGGACGGGGCGCGTCAGGAGCTGCTGCTTCATGAGGTCGAAGGTGGCGTCGATGGTTGGGAGCACGCTGGCGCCAGCCGCCGCGCTGCTCAGCGGCAGAGCAAACATGAGGCTGCTCGAGGACGCCGCGGCGGCCACGCCGTAAGCGCCAAGCTCCGCGCCAGTGTAGGCGGCGCGGCTCCCCAGGACGAGCGAGGGCGCGTGGGCGAGGTCGCCGACGGGGGCGTCCTGCGCCTCCCACTGAGTGACGTACATGTGCTGCTGCCGCGTCGCCACCGGCGCCGCCAACGCCTTGAACACGCGGCTCTCAAACGAATTGAGGCGCACCAGCGGCGCATCGCCCTTGCAGAGGCCGGCGAGCCAGACGCCGGCCGAGGTGGCGCCCTGCCGCTCGACGATCGAGCACATGCGGCCCTTGGCCGAGGTGAGGGTCGCCTCGCCCACCATGAAAGGCAGCCTCGTCTCGCCGGCATCGGTGTCCTCCGCGATGAGAGCTGTCTGCTGCAGCGCGCCATCGAGGTCGGCCGGGTGCACCTGCGTGCCGAAGCGGTTGCACCGGCGGCGCAGCCGGCCCACGCCGACGCCGGCCTCGCGGTTTGCCCAGAGCGCCTGGAGCGCGCGGAACTCGGGGCCGTACTCGAGGCCAACCGAGCGGAAGGCCTCGTAAAAGACGCCGACGTCGACGGCCGCGTAGCTCGAGCCGAGGGCCGCGGCGGCCGCGGGGGCGCCGAGCGCGCCGTTGGTCGCGCCGGTGTCGCCGGCGCTGTGGGTCACCTTCTGCGCGTCCTCACCCATCGAGCTGAGCTCGAAGCGGTCGGCGTTAGTATCGATGGAGATTGTCACCTTGAGGTCGTCCACATTGTCGAGGATGAGCGGCTGCAGGAAGTAGGCGCGCTGCAGCTTGACGTCCTTGCGGTCGTTGACCGCGCAGTACGCCGCGCGCGCCATCTCGAGGTAGCCCGCGCCGGGAAAGATGATGCGGCCCTGCACGATGTGGTCCGAAACCAGCGACTGCAGCGCACCCTTGGCCGGCGAGTGGAAGGCGTCCTCGATCGCGCCGCCCTCGCCCTTGACGCGCGAATGGATGAGCGGGTTGGGCGTCTCCATCCAAAGGTAGCGCTTGCGCGTGTGCATCGGCCCACGCTTGGCCGCAGGCACGAGGCCCGCGCCCGCCCGGACGCGCGGTGCCTCAATCACGGCGTGCGCGATCGTGCCGGCGTAGCCCATCGAGCTCACACCGCCCGCGTAGTTGGGCGCCCGGTTGGGCAGCTTTGGCAGACCGGCGAGCTGGATCGGCATCGCCCCCGCCGCGCTGCCCTCCATCGTGGAGGCGACGTGCTCGTTCATGACACGCAGCTGCGCGTTGGGCGGCGCCTGCCCCGCCATGAGGCCCATCGCGAGGCGGATGATGCCGAGCACGCCCGCTGCCGGCTCGCCGTGGCCGCAGTTCGCCTTGACAGACCCAATCTGCAGCGGCTCCGCGTCGCCGCGCCCCGCGAGGATGGCTGCCTTGGTCGAACGCACCTCGATCGGGTCGCCGAGCGGCGTGCCGGTGCCGTGCGCCTCGTAGCACGAGAGCTCCGCCGGCGGCGTGCCCGCGTCAGCCATGCCCGCACGCATCAACTGGATCTGGGCCTGCCCGTTGGGCGCCGTGAGCGATGCCGACTTGCCGTCCTGCTGGATGGCGCAGCCGTGCATCACCGGCCTCGTCGCGTCGCCGCTCGCCTGCAGAGAGACGGCGTAGATGCCCTCGCCGCGGGCGTAGCCGTCGGCTCGCGCGTCGAAGGTGTGACAGCGCCCCTTTGGCGACGTCATGCCCGCGGTCGCCATCATCATCGACGTCCACTGCGAGAAGATCATGTTGATGCCGACCACCAGCCCTGTCTTGCACTCGGTGTTTTGCACGGCGCGGAGGCAGTCGTGCGCCGCGACGATGCCCGACGAGCAGGCGGTGTCGATGGCCGAGCACGGGCCCTGTAGCCCGAGCGCGAAGGAGATGCGGCCGCACGCCACCGAGCAGGTGGAGGAGGTCGCGGCGTAGACGGTGGAGGCGCCCTTGCTCTGCCGGAGCACCTCGGTGTACTCGGAGGCCCACATGCCGACCCAGACGCCGGTAAGCGAGCCAATCAGGTCCGCCTTGCTGTACCCCGTCCCATGCAGCGCCTCATACGACTTCTCGAGCGCGAGGCGCTGCGACGGCTCCATCACCGCTGCCTCGGACGGCGAGATGGAGAAGAAGGCGTTGTCGAAAAGGTCTGAGTCGAGCAGGAAGCCCGCGTTGCGCTGCCGGTCGATGACAACGTCGGAGACGGTGTCGTAGACGGTGTTGGTCATGTCGTCCGGGTTCCAGCGCGTCATCGGCACCGGGACGATCGAGTTCTTCCCCGTCGACCCCATCGCCCACACCTTGGCGCTGCCGAGGCCGTGCGCGCCGTCGGGCCCGTGAGCCGCCATGTGCGCGATATGCACCGCGGAGATGTCGCCGCCGTGCGCCTTCGCGACGAACTCCTCCGGCTCCTCCTCGGTGCCCGCCGTGCTGAGGTAGCCCGCGATCGCGCGTGCGGTCGGGTAGTCAAAGATCATGGTCGACGGCAGCTCGAAGCCCTCGCCCGCCGCCGCCTGCAGCTGGTCGCGCAGCTCGACCGCGCCGAGCGAGTCGAGGCCCGCCTCCATGAGAGGGACATCGGGGTCGACCTCGTTGCCGGTAGTCTTGCTGAGTGTGTCGAGGATGAAGTCGAGCGAGACGGCTTTCGCGGGCGCGGAGACCTTCTTGGCGACCGCCGCGCCGGCCTTGCGCGCGGGCGCAAAGCGAGAGAGCGCCGCCGGCACCTCCTTCATGCTGCCGCCGAGGAACTTTCCCCACCTGACAATGTACATGGTTTGCACCACTGGCCCGCCCATCGCCATCGCAGCCTTGAAGGCGTGAACGCCCTCCGAAATCGAGATAAGGCCAATGCCCATCGACTGGAGCCGCGCATTGATCGACCCCTCCGACGCCATACCGACGTCCGCCCACGGGCCCCACTGCACTGACGAGGCGGCCTGGCCGGCGGCCCGCCGCATCGCGCTCGTCGCGTCGAGGCAGCAGTTGGCGGCCGAGTAGTTGCCCTGGCCGGCCCCTCCGAGGAGAGCGGCGACCGAAGAGAAGAAGACCATCGCCTCGAGCGGCGCCGAGGGAATTGCCGCCTGCAGGCTCCAGCCGCCAAACGCCTTGGGCGCAAAGACGCGCTTGAAGGTCTGCGCAGTCTGCGAGTGTAGCAGCCCGTCGGACAGCACGCCCGCCACGTGCCACGCCCCCGCGAGCCGAGCGCCGCAGATGATGGCCGCCAGCAGGCGGCGCGTGTCGGTCAGCTCGGCCGCGTCGCTCTTGACCACGAGGACTGCGCACTTGGAGAGCTTCTTCAGCTTGGCCGCGCCGGCCGCTGCGACCTTGCCGCCGCGGGCAGCGAGGACGAGGCTGCTGGCCCCAGCCTCGCCGAGCCACCTGCCCGTCAGCAGGCCGAGGCCGCCCGTGCCGCCCGAGAGGAGCTGGGCGCCGCTGGCCTGCCCTGGCTCCTCAGGCAGCGCTGCCAGCTGCTGCAGGCGGGGCACCTGCGCCTTTGAGCGCGCGAAGGTGAGCTCCGGCTCGGACTTGGGCAGCGCAGAGGCCGCTGCCATCAGCGCGGACGCGGTGAGGCCGGCGCCGTCGAGGTGCGAGATGGCGGCGGACGGCGCCTCGGCCCGCGCCGTTCGCGACAGGCCGAGCAGGCCGCCTGTAGCCGGACTCGCCTTCGCCGCGGCGCTCGCGGGCTGGGTGCCTGCGTTGAGGACCCACACCGGCACCGGCCGCGCGGTCAGCTGCTGGCGCGCCAGCAGCAGGGCGCCCTCGATGGCGGGGAGCACGGAGGGGGCGGAGCCGGTGGCGAGCGGCAGCGCAAAGGCGATGCCGCCCGCCTTTGCCGTGGGGGCCTGGCGGGGCAGCGCGTTGAGCATCGGCTGCGACATCTTTGCGAGCGACGAGGCGGAGGCAGGGCTTGCGCGGAGGCCGAGCACGGGCGCGAGCTCTCCCGCGGCGGGCTTGAGGCCCTCCCAGCCGATGACGTACAGGTGGGACGGCTTCTGCACCGCCGGCTCCGCCGTCGCTGGGTCGAGCACGCGCGTCTCGAAGCCGTCGAGCCGCGCCATCGCCACCGTGCCGCCGCACATGGTCGCGAGGAGCACGCCCATCTTCTCGGGCGCCTGCCGCTCGACGACAGCGCACATGCGGCCCTTGGCGCCGACGAGCGTGGCCTCGCCGACCACGAAGGGGAGGCGGAGCTCGGCCGAGGACGACAGCAGGCCTGACGTCTGCAGCGCGCCGTCGAGGTCGGCCGGGTGCACCTTTGTGCCCGCCAGCCGCGTGCGCCGCGTGAGGATCGCCGTCGCCACGCCGGCCGCCTGATTGAGGGCGATGCGCTCGAGCGGCTGGAAGTCGGGGCCGTACTCGAGGCCGATGCTGCGGAAGCCAGCGTAGAGCGTTGATGGCTCGACTGCGAGGCCGCAGAGCTGCCGCACCGAGGCGGCGTCCGCGCCGGAAGGAGGGACACCCATGACGCCGGCGTCGCCCGCGCTGTGCGTCACCTTCTGCTCCTCCTCGCCCGCGGAGGAGATCTCGTACCGCTCGGCGCCCGTGTCCACCTCGACGCGCACCTCGAGGCCGTCGGCCGCGTCAAGCACGAGCGGCGCGAGGAAGTAGGCGCGCTTGAGCGTCGCGCCCTTGAAGTGCGAGTTGCAGGCGAGGCAGGCGGCGCGAGCCATCTCGAGGTAGCCGGCGCCCGGGAACACGATCCGGCCCATCACGACGTGGTCCGCGACGAGGGCGGCGAGCGCGCCGCTGGTGCGCGACTTGAAGGTGTCCTCATCGGGAGCGGGCAGCCGGACCTGGATGAGCGGGTGCGGCGCCTCCTTCCAGCCGTAGCCCTTGCGGGTGTAAGCCAGCGTCGTCGTCGGGTACAGCATCACCTCCTGCATCGCGGCGGCCGACTCGGCCTCGAGCAGGCAGTGCGCGATCGTGCCCGAGTAGCCGAACGACGAGACGCCGCCGACGGCGCAACCGTCCGTGATCGAGGGCAGCGAGGGCAGCGGCGCGAGCTGCGTCGGTAGAGCGCACGGCATGCCCTCCAGCGCGCTGTCCACGTGCGGGTTGATGACGCGCAGGTTTGCGTTGGGCGGCGCCGTACCAGACGCCATGCCCATGGCGAGGCGCAGCAGCCCGGTCGCGCCGGCGGCTGGCTCGGCGTGCCCGACGTTGGCCTTGATCGAGCCGAGCGCGAGCGGCGCGGACAGGTCGCCCGACGACAGCACGACGCTCGCGAGCGAGCGCACCTCGATCGGGTCGCCGAGCCCGGTGCCGGTCCCGTGCGCCTCCGCGGTGCCCACCTCCTCCGCCATGGTGGCTGCGTCCGCAAGCGCGGCCTGCAGGAGTCCGACTTGGGCGATGCCGCTCGGCGCGGTGAGCGAGACCGACTTGCCATCCTGCCGCACACAGCTGCCCAAGAGAGGCAGCGTGACCACCCCCTTCGTCGCCGTGGTCCTCAGGGCGACCGAGCCGCATGCCTCGCCGCGGCAGTAGCCGTCGGCGCGCTTGTCGAAGGTGTGGCATTTTCCGTTGGGCGAGGTCATGCCCGCCGTGCCGAATGAGATCGACATGCCCGGCAGCAGCATCAGGTTGACGCCCGAGACGAGGCCAGAGACGCACTCGTTCATCTGGATGGCGCGCAGGCCCGCGTGGTTGGCGGAGAGCGCGGCGGAGCAGGCCGTGTCGTACGTGACGCATGGGCCGAGCAGCCCGAGCGCAAAGGAGATGCGGCCGGACGCGATCGAGTGCGCGCTGCCGGTGGCGGAGTAGACGGACTTGGCCATCGGTGTCGCCCGGATCACGTCCGCCCAATCGTTGGCGCTAATGCCGACGAAAACGCCAACGACGCAGCCCATGATGGCCGCCTTCTCGAGCGACGCGGCGTGCAGCGCCTCGTAGCCGCCCTCGAGCAGCAACCGCTGCTGCGGGTCCATCGCTGCCGCCTCGGCGGGCGAGATTGCGAAGAACTTGTTGTCGAAGAGCTCCACGTTGTTGACAAAGCCGCCGAAGCGGACGCGCTTCGCCACCGTCTCGTCGCTCGTCACGCCCTCATCGAGCACCCACCGGTCGAGCGGCACCTCGGTGGTGCAGCCGGTGGCGCACGAGGCCATCCGGCGCAGCCCGTCAATCGAGATGGTCCCCTTGGGGGAGATGACGCTCATCCCACTCAAGCGGACCACGCTCGACGACATCGTCTTCGTCGGGCCGTCGCCAGACACCTTGGCCGCGGGCGACGCCTTCGTCTCCGCAGGCGCCGCCGACGCCTCGAAGAAGCCCGCCAGCTGGCGCGCCGTCGGGTAGTCGAAGATGAGCGTCGACGGCAGCGTCATGCCCGACTGCGCCTGCAGCTGGTTGCCCAGCTCGACCGCGCCGAGCGAGTCGAGGCCAGCCTCCATCAGCGGCGCGTCGGGGTCGACCTTGCCGCCCGTTGTCTGGCGAACGGCCTCGACGATGAAGTCCATGCCCACCGCCTTCTTCTCCGTGCTGGCCGCGACCGCCGCGCCGGTGGCCTTCTTGTGAGAGGCAAAGGCCGACATCAGCGGCGGCACCTCCGGCATCGTCGAGAGGAACTTGGACCACTTGAGCACGGTCGTGCCGAGGACTGCAGGGCCGCGCGGAGTCAGCGACGCGCTGAAGGCGGCGACGCCCTCCTTCATGGTGACGAGGCCAACGCCGCCGGCCTGCAGCCGCGCGTTCACCGACGGGTCCGCCGCCATGCCGATGTCCGCCCACGGGCCCCACTGGATGCTGGCCGCCGCCTGGCTGCGCTTGCGGCGGCAGGCCCCGAGCGCGTCTAGGGTGCTGTTGGCCGCCGAGTAATTGGTCTGCCCGCCGCCTCCAATCATCGCCGCCAGGGACGAGAACATGACGCACGCGTCGAGAGCCGACGTGGCGCACGCCTGCTGCAAGGAGAAGGCACCGCACGCCTTGGGGGCGTACACGCGCTTGATCGACGAGGCCGTCTGGCCGCGCAGCAGCCCGTCCGACAGCACGCCCGCCGCGTGCCACACGCCCGCCAGCGTGCTGCCCTTGGCCAGGATGGCGCCGACCGTGCGAGCCGTGTCCGTCAGCTCGGCCGCGTCGCACTTGACCACGCTGAAGCTGCACTCGGCGATCTTCCTGAGCTTCTCGCCGTCCGCGGGGGCGACCTTGCCGCCGCGGGCCGCGAGCACCACCGAGGAGGCGCCGCCCTCGCCGAGCCACTTGCCCGTGACGAGGCCGAGGCCGCCCGTGCCGCCAGACAGCAGGTGGGTCCCGCGCGGCGGCGTCGGGGCCGTCTTCGGGATGCGCACCACCACCTTGCCGGTGTTGGCGCCGCCCTGCAGCGTGCGGAAGGCGGCCAGGACGTTCTTCTCGAGGTCGAAGAGCTCCATGGGCAAGCCGTGGAGCACGAACGCATCCGCGCGCGCAGACAGCGTCCGCAGCGTGCCGCACATCCACCACGGCGTCTGGTCGATCGTCGAGTCGAGCGCGATCATCGTGAAGTGGTTGCAGCACGCCGCCTCGTGCCGCTCGTAGCTCCACACCGCCCGCTTGCCGATCTCGCAGAGCTTGCCGTCCTGCCGCAGCAGCGCGAAGGTGCACGCGATGAAGTCCGCCGACAGGCTGTTGAGCGAGAAGCGCAGCCGGCCGGAGCGAAGCAGCTTCGACGCGCCCAGCGCAAAGGCGCCGCCGTCGCGCGAGCTGAGCGTGCGGCCGGCGAGGCCCATCTTGTGCAGGTAGAAGTGCTTGTACGGCCGGCCGACGTTCGCCATCGCGCGATTGCCGATGAAGTGGCAGTACTCTTGCGAGGTCAGGCCGACGCCGCCCGCGCCAGCGTGCAGAAGCACGGCGTGGCCAGCCGCCGGCCGGGCCGCGAGCAGCGACATGTGCACCGTGCACCACGCCGTCGGCAGCGTGCAGGCCTGCTCGAACGAGAGCGACTTGTCGATCGCCGCCAGCAGGCGGCCGTCGCTCTTGGACAGGGAGGCAAGCGCAGCCAGGCCGTGGCCGAGCGCCGCGTCGCCAACCTTGAGGTGCGAGATGCCTGAGCCAACGGCGGACACCACGGCTGCACAGTCGCCGCCCGGCGGGCCTGGGTCGCCGGGGTAGGCACCGAGCACGTTGAGCACGTCGCGGAAGTTGAGGCCGACCGCGCGCACGCGCAGGTTCGCCTCTCCTGCCGCCATCGCCGCGTTGTCATCAACTTGGCTCACGACGCGCAGGTTGCTAATCGCGCCGCGTGCGTCGAAGTGCAGCTTGATCGGGCCGCCCAGCGCCTGCGCCGCCGGCGCAAGGCGCGGGACGCGGCGGACGCCGTCATTGACGGACATCTCGGGCTCGGAGTGCTGGCCGTCCTTGAGCGCCGACCGCGCCGCAGTGAGCAGCACGTTTGTCAAAGCAGACACGTCAAGGCACGACAGCTTGGCGGCCGGTGACTCTTGCCGCGCCGAGCGCGCGAGGCCCATCACGCCGGCGAAGGACGGGCGCGCCGAGCTGCCGTGGCTCGAGGCCTGCGCCCCAGACGTGAGCAGCCAGGTCGGCGCCGGCTTGCCGTGCAGCTGCTGCCGGACGAGGTCGAAGGCGGCCTCGATGCCAGGCAGCATCGCAGGCGAGACGCCGCCGCTCTCCATCGTGAGCGAGAAGAGCACGCTGCTCGGTGCCGAGGGCGGGACGAGGCCGATGCTGCCCGCCGCCAGACGCGCCACGGTAGTGCCGCCGAGCATCAGCGCCGGCGAGAAGGCCTCCGTGCCCGCGGCGGGCGCGTTTAGCGCCTCCCACTGCGTGACGTACATGTGCAACTCCCTGGCAACCTCCGGCGCCGTCAACGCCTTGAGCACGCGGCTCTCGAAACCCGACAGCTTCGCCATGGCGGGCGCGTCTTCGCCCATCGTCGAGAGCACCACGCCCATCCGATCAGACTCCTCGCGCTCAGCGGCGGCGACGAGGCGCCCCGATGCCGCCAGCAGCGCTGCCTCACCAACCATGAAGGGCAGCCGCAGCTCACCTGTGTTGGAGCGCAAGAGGAGCGCCGACAGCTGCAGCGCGCCGTCGAGGTCGGCCGGGTGCACCTGGGTCCCCTCGAGGCGCGTGCGCTTGCGCATGGTGGCGAAGGCGACGCCCGCGTCCTGTGAGCTGTACGTCGCGACGAGCGGCTGAAAGGTGGGGCCGTACTCGAGCCCGACGGTCCGCAGCGCCGAGTACAGCTCCGGGGCCGGGAGGGCGCGCGAGGTGGCCGCGTCACGGATCAGGCTCGGCGCGGGCCCGTGACTTGACCCAGCCGTGAGGGCGGCCGCGCCACCCTCGCAGTGCGTCATCTTCTGGTCGTCCTCGCCTGCGGAGCTCACCACGAAGCGGCCGGCGCCCGTGTCGACCGACACAGAGACCATGACGCCCGCGGTCGCGTCGAGCATGAGCGGCTGCAGGAAGTAGGTCTTCTTCAGCGTGGTGCCCTTGCTCTGCGCGACGGCGCAGTACGCCGCGCGCGCCATCTCGAGGTAGCCGGCGCCCGGGAACACGATGTGGCCCGCGACGACGTGATCCGCGACCAGGGAGACCAGGGCGCCGTGTGCCGGCGAGGTGAAGGTGTCCTCGTCGGGCGGAGCCCTACGTGCCTGGATGAGCGGGTTGCGCGTGTCGCGCCACATGTAGCTCTTGCGCTGGTACGTGAGCGTGGACGGCTTGAACGGCATGTTCTGCTGCAGGTTCGGCTCAGCCTCGATGAGGCAGTGCGCGATCGTGCCCGCATAGCCATAGGAGGACACGCCGCCGACGGCGCAACCGTCCGTGATCGAGGGCAGCGAGGGCAGCGGCGCGAGCTGCGTCGGTAGAGCGCACGGCATGCCCTCCAGCGCGCTGTCCACGTGCGGGTTGATGACGCGCAGGTTTGCGTTGGGCGGCGCCGTACCAGACGCCATGCCCATGGCGAGGCGCAGCAGCCCGGTCGCGCCGGCGGCCGGCTCGGCGTGCCCGACGTTGGCCTTGATCGAGCCGAGCGCGAGCGGCGCGGACAGGTCGCCCGACGACAGCACGACGCTCGCGAGCGAGCGCACCTCGATCGGGTCGCCGAGCCCGGTGCCGGTCCCGTGCGCCTCCGCGGTGCCCACCTCCTCCGCCATGGTGGCTGCGTCCGCAAGCGCGGCCTGCAGGAGTCCGACTTGGGCGATGCCGCTCGGCGCGGTGAGCGAGGCCGACTTGCCATCCTGCCGCACACAGCTGCCCAAGAGAGGCAGCGTGACCACCCCCTTCGTCGCCGTGGTCCTCAGGGCGACCGAGCCGCATGCCTCGCCGCGGCAGTAGCCGTCGGCGCGCTTGTCGAAGGTGTGGCATTTTCCGTTGGGCGAGGTCATGCCCGCCGTGCCGAATGAGATGTGGACCCCGGGCAGGAGCATAATACTCACGCCCGAGACGAGGCCGGTGACGCACTCGTTCATTTGCAGCGCACGCATGCCGGCGTGGTTGGCCACCAGCGCCGCCGAGCAGGCGGTGTCATAGGCGGCACAGGGTCCCTGCAGCCCGAGTGCAAACGAGACACGGCCCGCGGCGACGGAGTGACTGCTGCCGGTGGCGGAGTACACGGAGCGGCCAATGGGCGACATCTTGACGAGGTCGCCGTAGTCGGCGTTTGCGATGCCGACGAACACACCAACGACGCAGCCCATGATGGCCGCCTTCTCGAGCGACGCGGCGTGCAGCGCCTCGTAGCCGCCCTCGAGCAGCAGCCGCTGCTGCGGGTCCATCGCCGCCGCCTCGGCGGGCGAGACGGCGAAGAACATGTTGTCAAAAAAGTCGGCGTCACGCAGCCAGCTGCCATGCCGCACGCGGCGCGAGAGGTCGTCGGCGTCAGCGGGGAGCGGGGCGAGCGACCAGCGCGAGTGGGGCACCTCCTCGGTGACGGGCGTGCCGCAGTTTGCCATGCCGGTCAGCTCGATAAGCGTCACCACTCCCTTGGGCCCAAGCGCAGACATGCCGCCGATGCGGACCACGCTCGACGACATCTTCTTGGTCGGGCTGTCGGCGCCGCCGGCGGTGGCGGCGGGAGCCGCCTTATTGCTGCCCGCGGGCGTGGCAGTGCTCTCGAAGTAGCTCGCCAGCTGGCGCGCCGTCGGGTAGTCGAAGATGAGCGTCGACGGCAGCGTCATGCCCGACTGCGCCTGCAGCTGGTTGCCCAGCTCGACCGCGCCGAGCGAGTCGAGGCCAGCCTCCATCAGCGGCGCGTCGGGGTCGACCTTGCCGCCCGTTGTCTGGCGAACGGCCTCGACGATGAAGTCCATGCCCACCGCCTTCTTCTCCGTGCTGGCCGCGACCGCCGCGCCGGTGGCCTTCTTGTGAGAGGCAAAGGCCGACATCAGCGGCGGCACCTCCGGCATCGTCGAGAGGAACTTGGACCACTTGAGCACGGTCGTGCCGAGGACTGCAGGGCCGCGCGGAGTCAGCGACGCGCTGAAGGCGGCGACGCCCTCCTTCATGGTGACGAGGCCAACGCCGCCGGCCTGCAGCCGCGCGTTCACCGACGGGTCCGCCGCCATGCCGATGTCCGCCCACGGGCCCCACTGGATGCTGGCCGCCGCCTGGCTGCGCTTGCGGCGGCAGGCCCCGAGCGCGTCTAGGGTGCTGTTGGCCGCCGAGTAATTGGTCTGCCCGCCGCCTCCAATCATCGCCGCCAGGGACGAGAACATGACGCACGCGTCGAGAGCCGACGTGGCGCACGCCTGCTGCAAGGAGAAGGCACCGCACGCCTTGGGGGCGTACACGCGCTTGATCGACGAGGCCGTCTGGCCGCGCAGCAGCCCGTCCGACAGCACGCCCGCCGCGTGCCACACGCCCGCCAGCGTGCTGCCCTTGGCCAGGATGGCGCCGACCGTGCGAGCCGTGTCCGTCAGCTCGGCCGCGTCGCACTTGACCACGCTGAAGCTGCACTCGGCGATCTTCCTGAGCTTCTCGCCGTCCGCGGGGGCGACCTTGCCGCCGCGGGCCGCGAGCACCACCGAGGAGGCGCCGCCCTCGCCGAGCCACTTGCCCGTGACGAGGCCGAGGCCGCCCGTGCCGCCAGACAGCAGGTGGGTCCCGCGCGGCGGCGTCGGGGCCGTCTTCGGGATGCGCACCACCACCTTGCCGGTGTTGGCGCCGCCCTGCAGCGTGCGGAAGGCGGCCAGGACGTTCTTCTCGAGGTCGAAGAGCTCCATGGGCAAGCCGTGGAGCACGAACGCATCCGCGCGCGCAGACAGCGTCCGCAGCGTGCCGCACATCCACCACGGCGTCTGGTCGATCGTCGAGTCGAGCGCGATCATCGTGAAGTGGTTGCAGCACGCCGCCTCGTGCCGCTCGTAGCTCCACACCGCCCGCTTGCCGATCTCGCAGAGATTGCCGTCCTGCCGCAGCAGCGCGAAGGTGCACGCGATGAAGTCCGCCGACAGGCTGTTGAGCGAGAAGCGCAGCCGGCCGGAGCGAAGCAGCTTCGACGCGCCCAGCGCAAAGGCGCCGCCGTCGCGCGAGCTGAGCGTGCGGCCGGCGAGGCCCATCTTGTGCAGGTAGAAGTGCTTGTACGGCCGGCCGACGTTCGCCATCGCGCGGTTGCCGATGAAGTGGCAGTACTCTTGCGAGGTCAGGCCGACGCCGCCCGCGCCAGCGTGCAGAAGCACGTCGTGGCCAGCCGCCGGCCGGGCCGCGAGCAGCGACATGTGCACCGTGCACCACGCCGTCGGCAGCGTGCAGGCCTGCTCGAACGAGAGCGACTTGTCGATCGCCGCCAGCAGGCGGCCGTCGCTCTTGGACAGGGAGGCGAGCGCAGCCAGGCCGTGGCCGAGCGCCGCGTCGCCAACCTTGAGGTGCGAGATGCCTGAGCCAACGGCGGACACCACGGCTGCACAGTCGCCGCCCGGCGGGCCTGGGTCGCCGGGGTAGGCACCGAGCACGTTGAGCACGTCGCGGAAGTTGAGGCCGACCGCGCGCACGCGCAGGTTCGCCTCTCCTGCCGCCATCGCCGCGTTGTCATCAACTTGGCTCACGACGCGCAGGTTGCTAATCGCGCCGCGTGCGTCGAAGTGCAGCTTGATCGGGCCGCCCAGCGCCTGCGCCGCCGGCGCAAGGCGCGGGACGCGGCGGACGCCGTCATTGACGGACATCTCGGGCTCGGAGTGCTGGCCGTCCTTGAGCGCCGACCGCGCCGCAGTGAGCAGCACGTTTGTCAAAGCAGACACGTCAAGGCACGACAGCTTGGCGGCCGGTGACTCTTGCCGCGCCGAGCGCGCGAGGCCCATCACGCCGGCGAAGGACGGGCGCGCCGAGCTGCCGTGGCTCGAGGCCTGCGCCCCAGACGTGAGCAGCCAGGTCGGCGCCGGCTTGCCGTGCAGCTGCTGCCGGACGAGGTCGAAGGCGGCCTCGATGCCAGGCAGCATCGCAGGCGAGACGCCGCCGCTCTCCATCGTGAGCGAGAAGAGCACGCTGCTCGGTGCCGAGGGCGGGACGAGGCCGATGCTGCCCGCCGCCAGACGCGCCACGGTAGTGCCGCCGAGCATCAGCGCCGGCGAGAAGGCCTCCGTGCCCGCGGCGGGCGCGTTTAGCGCCTCCCACTGCGTGACGTACATGTGCAACTCCCTGGCAACCTCCGGCGCCGTCAACGCCTTGAGCACGCGGCTCTCGAAACCCGACAGCTTCGCCATCGCCTCCTTACCCGCGGGGCCGCTCATCATGACCGTGGTCTCATCGCCGCTCTCGCGCTGCACCGCGGCGCACATCCAGCCCGCGGCGGAGGTGAGGGCGGCCTCCGCCACCATGAAGGGGAGGCGCGTCTCGCCGGAGGAGGTGTCCACCAGCGTCGACGTGAGCTGGATCGCGCCGTCGAGGTCGGCCGGATGCACCTTCGTGCCGTGCCGGTGCCGTCGGCGCGAGAGGTGCGCCATCGCGAGGCCGCCCTCCTTGTAGGCGTAGACGCGCGCCAGCATGCGAAACTCGGGCCCGTACTCGAGTCCGCCCTCGCGCAGCGCCGTGTACAGCGCGGTGTGCTCGAGCGCGGCCGAGGTGCCGGTGAGCTCGCGCACGGCGGCGGGCTGCGGGCCAAGCGGCGCCTTGCCCACCATCGCACCCATGCCGCCAGCGCAGTGCACCAACTTGTCGCCACCCTCCATCTTGGAGGAGATCTCGAAGCGCTCGCCGCCCGCGTCCACGTCACACGTGACCACCAGGCAGTCGGTCGCGTCGAGCATGAGCGGCTGCAGGAAGTAGGCGCGCTTGAGCACCGCCCCCTTGGCCTTGTTGACGGCGCAGCAGGCCGCGCGCGCCATCTCGAGGTAGCCGGCGCCCGGGAATACGATGTGGCCCTTCACCTGGTGGTCGCACACAAGCTTGACAAAGGGGCCTCGTGCGGGCGAGAAGAAGGTGTCCTCGACGGCGCCGTCGGACGACCTGAGCCGCTGCTGAAGCAGCACGTTGACGTCCTCGCGCCACGCAAAGACAAGCCGCCGGTAGACGAGCTTCTCGGCTGGCGGCGAGAGCTTCGCGAGCTCCGAGTGCGCCACACGTACGATGGCGTGGCAGATGGTGCCCGAGTAGCCAAACGAGGAGACGCCGCCGCACATCGCGCCCAGCTTGGGGTCCATCAGCACCGGCCCCGTCTGCGTGCCGATGTTTGCGTTGATGCCACCGAGCGCCTGCGAGACGTGCGGGTTCATCGCGCGCAGCTGGATGTTTGGCGCGACCATCTTGTCGCGGACGGCCATCAGCAGGCAGACCATGCCGCCGAAGCCGGCGCCCGGCTCGGCGTGGCCCGCGTTGGCCTTAACCGAGGTGAAGCTCGCCGCGTAGCCAGCGTCCTTGTGGTGCTTGAACGCGGCGCCCACCGTCGAGCCAATCTCGATCGGGTCGCCGAGCGCGGTGCCGGTGCCGTGCGCCTGCGAGGTTTGCACCTCGTTGCCGCGCACGCCCGCAATGCCCATCGCCGCCTGGATCACCTTCTTCTGCGCCTGCCCGTTGGGCGCGGTGAGCGAGGCCGACTTGCCGTCGCACCGCACCGCCGTGCCAGGCAGCGCGATCGCCGGCGTCTCGTCCTCCCTGCCGCGCATGATGACGGCGCCGCCGCAGTTGTCCGAGCGGCAGTAGCCATCGGCACCCGCGTCCCAGGTGTGGCAGCGGCCGCGCGGCGAGGTCATGCCGGCGAGGCCAAAGGCACGATGCACGTCGGTCACCATCATGATGTTGACGGCGAGCACGACCGCGAAGGGGCACTCGCCGAGGGTGAGCGCGCCGCATGCGATGGACGTGGCGGTCAGGCCGGCAGAGCAGGCGGTGTCGATGAGCGTGCACGGCCCCTGCAGGCCGAGCGCGAAGGAGAGGCGGCCCGACGCGATCGACTGCGAGGAGCCGGTCGCCGAGTAGACGGAGGTTTTGACGGCGGTGCCCTGCAGCACCGTGGCAAAGTCCTGGCACGAGAAGCCCAGGTAGACGCCGACGTCGGCGCCGTTCAGCTCCGACTTGCCGATCCCGGCGGCGTGCAGCGCCTCGTAGCCGTGCTCGAGGCAGCAGCGCTGCTGCGGGTCCATCGCCATCGTCTCGGCGGGCGAGACGGCGAAGAAGTTCGCGTCGAAGAGGTCGGCGTGGTCGATGAAGGCGCCGTGCCGCATCCGCTTCTGCACAACCTCGGAGATACCGTCGGCGGCGGCGCCGGCAACCGCCTCCTCGACGTCCCAGCGCGTGAGGGGCACCTCGCCGCACACGTCGAGGCCGTTGATGAGCATCTTCGAGAGGCGCGCGAGCGTATTGACGTGCGCCGGCAGCCGGATGCTCGTCCCTGTCAGCGCGTGCGCCGACGAGGCGGAGATCTCGATGCCGCCCACGCCGGCGTCAGCCGACTCTTCCTCGGCGAGCTCCTTGAAGTAGCTCGAGAGGGCGCGTGCGGTCGGCGCGTCAAAGATTAGCGTGCCCGGGAGCTGTACGCCCTCACCTGCCGCCGCCTGCAGCTGGTTGCGCAGCTCGACCGCGCCGAGCGAGTCGAGGCCGGCCTCCATCAGCGGCGCGTCGGGGTCGACTTCGCCGCCCGTCGTGTTCTTCAGGATGTCTTGGATCTGCGTCAGCGAAACCGCGTTGACGCTCAAGCCGCCGCTACCACCGCCGCCGCCGGAGACCATCCGCACGGTCGACATCTTCGGCAGGAGACCAGCGAGCATGGCCGGCACCTCTGGCAACAGGCCAAGAAACTGGCCCCATCGGACAACGTAAAGCGAAAACGTTGCTGGCGCGCGGAACTGCATCGACGCACGGAAGGCGGTGACGCCCTGCCCAATTGAAATGAGCCCGATGCCCATCGCTTGCAGGCGCGCGTTGACACCGCCGCCGGCCGCCATACCAACGTCCGCCCATGGCCCCCACTGCACCGAGGAAGCGGCCTGGCCGTTTGAGCGGCGGTCGGCGGCCATAGCGTCAAGGCAGCTGTTGGCCGCCGCGTAGTTGCTTTGGCCAGCCGAGCCCATCATGGCGGCGACGGAGGAGAAGAGCACCATCGCGTCGAGCGGCGACGTGGCGCAAGCCTGCTGCAGGCTCCAGCCGGCGTGGGCCTTTGGCGAGTAGACGCGCTTGAGCGACGCTGCCGACATAGCGGTGAGCAGCCCATCCGAAAGCACCCCGGCGGCATGCCACACACCGCGGAGGCGTGGCCTGCTGCCAGCGACCACGCCCGCGATGGTGTGCTGCAAGTCTGTCGCCTCGGCCGCGTCGCACGCGGCGGCGTAAAAGCGGGTGCTCTGGTTTGCAACGAGGAGCTTGGCCGACGACGTGGACACCTTGCCGCCGCGCGAGACCAGCACAAGGCCAGTCGAGCCGTTGAGGGCGAGCCACTCAGCGGCAATGAGGCCAAGGCCGCCGGTCCCGCCCGTGATGAGCTGAAGCGCGCCCATGTGGCGCGAGCGCCTTGTGTTGGGGTTCTTGAGCGCGTTTACAGAGACAGCGACGAGACGCGGCGCCGTGGCTGTACCGCGAGTCACCCGCAGCTCGGGCTCGTCACCGTCGGCCGTGGAGCAAACGACCGATTGGACGGCCAGCGCGGCGCTGTCCGGAGACGCGACATCGAGGCGCGAATCAAGACCCAGATGTCGTAGCGGGAGGCTGCGCGCTTCGCCTCGAGCCGAGCGGGTAAGCCCGCGGAGATCAGGAAGGTAGGAGATCACCCAAGTGAGAGGAGGCTTGGCGTCGACTACCATCTCGTTGGCGAGAACGCACGCCGCGGCCTCGAGAAGCAAGAGGTTTGCTCGGCGCCTCGAACCTCCTGTTGTGGCCGAGACTGCGAGGCCTGATGCGACCGGGCTGCGGAGAGACTCGCTCCACCGCCGTGCTGCAGTCAGAGTGCAAGCGCCAGCGGCATTGGCCAAGGCGTCATCTCCGAGCCAGAGCCAAGACTGAGAGGAGCTTACGCCCTCCTCTGCGGGGACGGGCGTCCATTCGCACTCGTACATGTGACGCCGCCCTCGGCTTGCCTCGAGCAAGCCGGGCACGAGGGTGCCCATCTCGCCGTTGTGGATCTGCACGACGAGCTTCTTGCTGCTGTTGTAGATGTTTGCGAGCGAGTCGACAGGCTGGCCGTCGATCTCGGTAGGCGTGAAATGGTGTCCCCACATCGTCGCCGTCTGCTTGAGGTCGGTGTCGAGTACCTCGTACGATTTGATCGCCGCCGCAAAGTAAGGCCGGCCCAGCAGGTCCTTTGGCCAGCACGCCTTTGCGTCGACGTCGAGCTGCGACATCAGCGCGCCCGGCTGGTTGGTCGCGTCGAGCCACGCACCGCCGCGCAGGCACGGGTCCGTGTTGGTATGCCCGAACTCGATGCGTGCTACGACCTCGGGACCGTCGGTTGGGCGCGGCGCCAGCCGCGTGTCCTGACCGCCGGCACCGCCGCCGACATAGGCGTAGCAGCACGGCAGTGCCTCTAAATGAGGACGGCCGTGGACCGAATCGAAACCGCGACGGGTCCATGCCTGCTCGACCGTCTTGAACTCGCCCTGGTAATTGTTGCCGATGGTGGCGTAAAACTCGTCCTTGTACGTGACGTTGGTCGCGCGCGCGATGGCGCCCTCCACATCGAGCTTGACCCTGTGCTCTGGCCGCAACTCCATCGGGCGGCAACGCATCTCGGCATGCACCGTCTCGGCCGGGTTCTCGTTTGTGTATGAGGCGATGCTAAGCAGGTCCGTCTTGAGGTCGAGCGTGAGCTTCTGTGAAAGCTGCGTGTGCTCGTCGTCGAGAAAGCAGAAGCCGTGGAAGACGGTCCGGTCGATGCGAAACGGCTTGCCCGGGTGCGTGGTCGACATGACCTCGCGCACAAGGACGATGTACGACGTGCCGGCGACGAGCGGCACGAAGCCAATCTGGTGGCCGCCGTGGAAGCTGAACTCGGCGGCGCCCATCTTGCGGTCCCACACGCGAGTCGTCGAATCCGCGTCGGTGTGGATGCCGAGATGTACGGACGTGGAGACTGGCGCTCGGCCCTTCCAGCAGAAGGCCTTTCGGCTGAAGCGCAGCTTCGCTTGAGGTGCTTCGAGCGGCGCAGTTGCTTGATCGCTGCAGAGCAGGGCGTGGGCAATCGTGCCGCTGTATCCGAAGGAACTCACTCCTCCGATCATCGACGACTCGCCACTGACAGTGGGAGACGGCTGGCTCAGATGGACAGGCAACGCGACGATAGCGCCATCCATGGCTGAGCTGGCGTGCGGGTTGATGAGGCGCAGCTGAGCGTTGGGCGGGGCATCGCGATGGCGAAGCCCTGTGACCAGTCTGACGAGTCCCGTTGCGCCGGCTGCTGGCTCGGCATGGCCCACGTTTGCCTTGGCACTTCCTAGTGCAAGTAGGGGGCCACTGCAGGCGCGCAACACAGCCACAGCCAAGGATCGCACTTCGATGGGGTCCCCAAGGGCGGTACCTGTTCCGTGCGCCTCAAGCATTGAGAGCATGGACGGCGACACCGCAGCGTCGACCATCGACGCAAGAAGCAGCCCCTGCTGAGCCAGGCCGTTCGGCGCGGTGAGGCTGGCACTCTTCCCGTCCTGTCGCACAGCGCTTCCCATCACGGACAGGGACGATCGATTCACCGGCGTTGACGCGAGAGCGAACGAGCAGCAAGCTTCCGCACGGGCGTAGCCGTCCGCACGGCGATCGAACGTGTGGCAGCGTCCGTTGGGGGATGTCATGCCCGCCATCGCAAAGCTCCACGATGTTGCTGGCATGAGCATCAAGCTCACGCCCGAGACGAGTCCCTCTTCACACTCCTCAAACTGGAGCGCGCGCAGCGCAGCGTGATTGGCAGCCAACGCAGCCGAACAGGCCGTGTCGTACGACACGCATGGGCCTTGGAGCCCGAGCACGAATGAGATGCGGCCGGAGGCAATAGACATGCTTGCACCTGTCGCGCTGTACACGCTGCGAATCATCGCGGATGCCTTGACGATGTCCGACCAGTCGTTGTTGGCAATGGCTACGAAAATTCCCGTCCCGCGCCCGACCAAGGTTGGCTTGTCCCAGCCCGCGCCGTGCAACGATTCGTAGGCCAGCTCCAGTAGCATCCGCTGCTGAGGATCCATCGCATTCGCCTCAACTGGCGAGACGCCGAATGACGCGTTGTCGAAGAGCTCAACACTTTGCAAGAAGCCGCCATGGCGAACGCGCCGCTCCACTTGCCCTGCAGCGCTCGTGATATCTTGCAGCGGCCAACGACCTTCCGGCACCTCCGATATCCCGTTTGAGGCACAGGCAACGAAGTCGCGGAAGGACTCGATGGTCGCTGCGCCTCGAGGTAGCGTTGCTGCTACCCCGACGAGCGAGGTGCAGACGTCAGGCTGTCCACCGCTTACCGGCGCCGCCGCCGCCGCCGCCGCCGGCGCAGCGGCGGACTGCTCGGCGAAGTAGCCCGCCAGCTGGCGCGCGGTGGGGTAGTCAAAGACGAGCGTGCTCGGCAGGCTCTGACCCGAATGCGCTTTCAGCTGGTTGCCGAGCTCCACCGACCCCAGCGAGTCGAGCCCCGCCTCCATCAGAGGCACGTCCGCACTCGCGTCGGCGCCCGTCGTCTGCTTCACTAGCTGCATCACCAGCTCCAGGCTCACCGTCGCGGCTGTCGACGTCGAGGTCGCCGCCACCGCCGCCGCCGCCGCCGCGCCGGACGAGGCCCCGCCCCGCCCCGCAAAGGCGCTCAGCAGGGCGGGCACGACGCCGCCCCGCGTGCCGAGGTACTGGCCCCAGCGCACCGGAAATAGCGACATCGCCGACGGGCAGACCGGCCGCAGCGCCGCCTTGAAGGCGACGACGCCCTGCGCCAACCCGATCAGGCCCATCCCAGCCACCTCGAGTCGAGACCGAATGGCATCACCCGCAGCCATGCCAGAGTCGGCCCACGGGCCCCACTGCACGCTCGCCGCGCGCAAGCCGGTCAGCCGCCGCCGGCCGCCCAGCGAGTCGAGGCAGCAGTTCGCCGCCGCGTAGTTGGCCTGGCCGCTGCCGCCGAGCACCGCCGAAATGGAGGAAAAGAGCACGCACGCGTCCACCGGCGAAGGCGCGCACACGCGGTGGAGCGCCCACGCGCCCACCGCCTTTGGGGCGAACACTCGGCGGAGAGACGCCGCGCTCTGCGACGCAAGCAGCGCGTCTGCCAACACGCCCGCCGCGTGCCACACGCCACGCAGGGGTGGCGCGCCATCGATGCGCAAGCCAGCAAAGAGGCGAGACACCTCGGACGGCTCGCCCGCGTCGCACCGCGCCGCCCGCACCTCGCACACGCCGGAGCTGCGCAGACGCGCGCCCGCCGACGCTGAGATCGAGCCGCCGCGCGATGCGACCACCAACGCGCCCGCGCCGCTCTCCGAGAGCCACGCACCCGTCACGACGCCAAGCGCGCCGCTCCCGCCCGTCAGGACGTGCGAGCCCTCCACCGCAGCGTCGCCCGCCGCAGGCACACGGATCACGACCTTGCCGATGTTGGAGCCCGCCTGCATCCAGCGGAAAGCAGCCTGCGCGCCGCGCTCCAGACCGAACACGCGCAGCGGAAGACCGTGCAGCACGTCCGCCTCCGCGCGGGACGACAGCAAGCGCAGCGTCCGGCACATCCACCACGGCACCTGCTCCATCGTCGAGTCGAGCGCGATCGCAACGTACCGCGAGTGCGCCGCCGCCTCGTGCCGCTCGTAGCTCCACACCGCGCGCTTGCCAATCTCGCACAGGCAGCCGTCCTCGCCGAGCAGCGCGAACGAGCACGCGATGAAGTCCGCCGACAGACTGTTGAGCACGCCCCGCAGACGCGAGCCGCGCAGCTGCGCCGAGGCGCCGAGCGCGAAGGCGCCGCCGTCACGCGAGCTCAGCGTGCGGCCGCAGAAGCCCGCGTGGTGCAGAAAGCGGTGCTTCTGCGGCTGGCCCACCGTCGTGCTCGGACGCGAGCGCAGCCACTGCGCGTACTCGCCCGCCGCCAGGCCCACGCCGCCCGCGCCAGCGTGCAGCAGCAGCCTGTCCGTCGAGCGCGGCCGCGACGCCAGCAGCGCCATGTGCACCGTGCTCCACGTCGTCGGCAGCGTGCACGCGGCGTCGTCCGAGAGGACCCCGCCGGTCGGCGCCACGAGCCGCGCGTCCGCGCGAGACACGGACGCAAGAGCCGCGACGCCGTGGCCCAGCACCCGCGCCCCCACCGGCAGGTGCGCCACGCCTGCGCCAACGGAGCTCACCACCGCAGCGCAGTCCCCGCCCGGCGGGCCCGGGTCGCCGGGGTACGCGCCGAGCACGTTGAGCACGTCGCGGAAGTTGAGGCCCACCGAACGCACGTGCAGCTCGACTCCGTCTGGCTCGGCGGCGCAGCCGCCCGCGGGCTGTGAGACCACCCTCAGATTCGTCAACGCGCCCCGCGCGTCGAAGTGCAGCCTTATCGGCCCTGCCAATGCCTGCGCCGCAGCCAGCAGCCTCGGCGCTGTCAAAGTGCTGCCAACGAGCGCCGCCTCCGGCTCGCCAAGACGCGCCGCCAAGTCCGCGGCGTGGACAAGCGTCGCCGAGGAAGAGCACGTCCGCGCGCCGTCCACGTCCAAGCACACCAACGACGCCGAGGGCGCCTCTGTCCGTGCGCAACGAGCAAGCGCGGAAACACCAGCGTGCGACGTGCCGAGCAAGCGGATGGGCGCGGCTGCCTGCCCACCGGCAGTCAGCAGCCACACGGGCGTCGCCGCGGCCGAAGCCGCGCTGACCTGCACCGCCCTCAGCGCTAGCTCGGCCGTCGCCAACGGGCCGGGGAGACCAATCGCAGAGACGGCCACCACATCAGCGGCTCGCGAAGCGTGGCTCGCGCCAGTCGGAGAGGCACGCGGCCCCGCCGCACCAGCAGCCCCGGACCAGACCGTGCGTGGACCCACTGCCGTCGCCGCCGCACCCTCTCCAGCGCGCTGCCATCCCGTCTGGTACAAGTGATGCTGCACCAGCGGCGCCGCCGCCTGCAGAGCCGCCGCCGCCACGGCGCGCACCTCAAAGGAGGCGAGCTGCACTGGCGGCGGGAGGTCAAACGCGCCGCCAATGCACACGTCCATCCCGCCCGACCCCCTCAGCTCCGCCACCGGCCACAGCCAACCCGAGGCTCGGGAGAGGGACGCCTCGCCCACCGAGAAGGGCAGGCGCATCTCGCCCGCCTTGCGCATCTCGCCTGCCTTGCGCTCCCCGAGCAAGGCTGTCGTGTGCAGCGCGCCGTCGATGTCCGCAGGGTGCACCTGAGTGCCGCACAAGCTCGTGCGGCGCTGCAGTCTGGCCACCGCCGCGCCCGGCGAGGACCAGGCCGCATCCAGGGTGCGGTAGGCTGGGCCGTACTCGAGTCCGGACACACGGAGGGTCTCGTACAGCGCACACAGGTCCACGGCACGCCCGCCCACGGACCGCAGCCGCGCGAGAGACGCCGCATGGCCGGCGTGCGCCACAGCAGAGGCAGCCCCTGCGCAGTGCGCCGTCGACGGCTCCTCCGCGACCGGGAAGCTGCGGACCTCAAACCGGCCGCCCGCCGCATCGATGGAGCACTCCACGGAGGCCGTGCCTGCGAGTACGAGCGGCTGCAAGAAGTACACCCGCCGCAGCGAGGCTGCACCCGGGCGCGCCGGCGACGAGGAGTGCACGCACCCCCAAGATGCGCGCGCCATCTCGAGGTAGCCGGCCGCCGGGAACAAGGTGCTCCCTCGAACGACGTGGTCTGCAATCAGGGCGCGCAAAGCTCCCTCCACCTCAGAACGAAGGACCGCCGAAACGCCGCTCTCCACGCGCTCGAGCCGCCGTTGCGCGAGCGGGTGCGGCGTCTCGCGCCATCCGTAATGGCGGCGCGCGTACGACAGGCCTTCGCGCAGCCCGTCCACCGCCAGCGCCGCCAGCGGCGACTCCGACTGCGCAACGGCGTGAACGATCGTCCCGCTGTAGCCAAACGAGCTCACCCCGCCGGCCGCAGCGCCCGCGTCACCGCGCATTTGAGGCGTGGTGACGAGCTGCGTCGGCAGGGCGCCCGAGGCGCCCTCGAGCGCCGAGCTCACGTGCGGGTTGAGCACGCGCAGCTGCGCGTTGGGCGCAGCCTCGAGCCCAGTGAGACCCAACGCGAGCCGCAGCAAACCGGAGCTACCCGCGGCCGGCTCGGCATGGCCCGCATTCGCCTTAATGCTCCCAATCGCCGGCTCCGCCGCGCCGCCCCGGGCCGCGAGCACCGCGGCAGCCATCGAGCGGGTCTCGATCGGGTCGCCCAGAGGCGTGCCCGTCCCGTGCGCCTCGACGCAGCAGACGGCCGACGCGGCGGTGCTGGCGTCCGAGAGCGCGGCCTCGAGCAAGCTCCGCTGCGCCTGGCCATTCGGCGCCGTCAAGCTGGCGCTCCGGCCGTCCTGCCGCACGCAGCTGCCGAGGATCGACGCGGACAAGCCGCCCTCGCCTGCCTGCGCCTGCAGGCCGAATGCGCTGATCGCCTCGCCGCGCGCGTACCCATCGGCGCGGCGGTCGAACGTCTTGCAGCTGCCCGTCGCCGAGGTCATGCCCGCGGTGGCAAAGTTGATGCTCACCTCTGGCAAGAGGACGAGACTCACGCCGGCAACCAGCGCGTCCGGACACTCCTCCATCTGCAGCGCGCGCAACGCAGCGTGGTTGGCAGCCAGCGCCGCAGAGCAGGCCGTGTCGTAAGACACGCATGGCCCCTGCAAGCCGAGCACGAAGGAGATGCGGCCCGCGGCTATCGACCGACTGCTGCCCGTGGCGGCGTACACGCTCCGGCTCATCGGCGAGGCCTTCACGATGTCATACCAGTCTGCCGCAGCGATGCCGAGAAAGACGCCGGTGCCGCCGCCCATCAGGGCGCCCCGCTCCAAACCGGCCGCGAGCAGAGCCGCGTACCCGTGCTCGAGGAGCAGCCGCTGCTGGGGGTCCATCGCCGCCGACTCGGCCGGCGAGACGCTGAAGAAGGCGTTGTCGAAGAGGTCGGCGTCGCGGAGGAAGCCGCCGTGCCGAATGCGCTGCCCAATGGCGTCGTCCGGAGCCGCCGCCGCAAGCTCCCAACGATCCGGCGGAACCTCGCAAATCACGCTCCGGCCCGTCGACGCGAGCAACCGCGCGCCAACAGCGCCGCACACGCTCATCGGAAGACTGGCGCTCAAGCCACGCACGCGCGCGGCACGAGACGACGCGCCCTGCGACCGAGAGTGGCCGACCGCCGCCGCCACCGCCGCCGCCGCCGCCGCCGGCGCAGCGGCGGACTGCTCGGCGAAGTAGCCCGCCAGCTGGCGCGCGGTGGGGTAGTCAAAGACGAGCGTGCTCGGCAGGCTCTGACCCGAATGCGCTTTCAGCTGGTTGCCGAGCTCCACCGACCCCAGCGAGTCGAGCCCCGCCTCCATCAGAGGCACGTCCGCACTCGCGTCGGCGCCCGTCGTCTGCTTCACTAGCTGCATCACCAGCTCCAGGCTCACCGTCGCGGCTGTCGACGTCGAGGTCGCCGCCACCGCCGCCGCCGCCGCCGCGCCGGACGAGGCCCCGCCCCGCCCCGCAAAGGCGCTCAGCAGGGCGGGCACGACGCCGCCCCGCGTGCCGAGGTACTGGCCCCAACGCACCGGAAATAGCGACATCGCCGACGGGCAGACCGGCCGCAGCGCCGCCTTGAAGGCGACGACGCCCTGCGCCAACCCGATCAGGCCGATCCCGCCCGCCTGCAGCCGCGCATTCACGGCGCCACCCGCAGCCATGCCAGAGTCGGCCCACGGGCCCCACTGCACGCTCGCCGCGCGCAAGCCGGTCAGCCGCCGCCGGCCGCCCAGCGAGTCGAGGCAGCAGTTCGCCGCCGCGTAGTTGGCCTGGCCCATGTTCCCCAACAGGCCCGCAACAGAAGAGAAGAGCACGCACGCGTCCACCGGCGAAGGCGCGCACACGCGGTGGAGCGCCCACGCGCCCACCGCCTTCGGGGCGAACACTCGGCGGAGCGACGCCGCGCTCTGCGACGCAAGCAGCGCGTCTGCCAACACGCCCGCCGCGTGCCACACGCCACGCAGGGGCGGCGCGCCATCGATGCGCAAGCCAGCAAAGAGGCGAGACACCTCGGACGGCTCGCCCGCGTCGCACCGCGCCGCCCGCACCTCGCACACGCCGGAGCTGCGCAGACGCGCGCCCGCCGACGCTGAGATCGAGCCGCCGCGCGATGCGACCACCAACGCGCCCGCGCCGCTCTCCGAGAGCCACGCACCCGTCACGACGCCAAGCGCGCCGCTCCCGCCCGTCAGGACGTGCGAGCCCTCCACCGCAGCGTCGCCCGCCGCAGGCACACGGATCACGACCTTGCCGATGTTGGAGCCCGCCTGCATCCAGCGGAACGCAGCCTGCGCGCCGCGCTCCAGACCGAACACGCGCAGCGGAAGACCGTGCAGCACGTCCGCCTCCGCGCGGGACGACAGCAAGCGCAGCGTCCGGCACATCCACCACGGCACCTGCTCCATCGTCGAGTCGAGCGCGATCGCAACGTACCGCGAGTGCGCCGCCGCCTCGTGCCGCTCGTAGCTCCACACCGCGCGCTTGCCAATCTCGCACAGGCAGCCGTCCTCGCCGAGCAGCGCGAACGAGCACACGATGAAGTCCGCCGACAGACTGTTGAGCACGCCCCGCAGACGCGAGCCGCGCAGCTGCGCCGAGGCGCCGAGCGCGAAGGCGCCGCCGTCACGCGAGCTCAGCGTGCGGCCGCAGAAGCCCGCGTGGTGCAGAAAGCGGTGCTTCTGCGGCTGGCCCACCGTCGTGCTCGGACGCGAGCGCAGCCACTGCGCGTACTCGCCCGCCGCCAGGCCCACGCCGCCCGCGCCCGCGTGCAGCAGCAGCCTGTCCGTCGAGCGCGGCCGCGACGCCAGCAGCGCCATGTGCACCGTGCTCCACGTCGTCGGCAGCGTGCACGCGGCGTCGTCCGAGAGGACCCCGCCGGTCGGCGCCACGAGCCGCGCGTCCGCGCGAGACACGGACGCAAGAGCCGCGACGCCGTGGCCCAGCACCCGCGCCCCCACCGGCAGGTGCGCCACGCCTGCGCCAACGGAGCTCACCACCGCAGCGCAGTCCCCGCCCGGCGGGCCCGGGTCGCCGGGGTACGCGCCGAGCACGTTGAGCACGTCGCGGAAGTTGAGGCCCACCGAACGCACGTGCAGCTCGACTCCGTCTGGCTCGGCGGCGCAGCCGCCCGCGGGCTGTGAGACCACCCTCAGATTCGTCAACGCGCCCCGCGCGTCGAAGTGCAGCCTTATCGGCCCTGCCAATGCCTGCGCCGCAGCCAGCAGCCTCGGCGCTGTCAAAGTGCTGCCAACGAGCGCCGCCTCCGGCTCGCCAAGACGCGCCGCCAAGTCCGCGGCGTGGACAAGCGTCGCCGGGGAAGAGCACGTCCGCGCGCCGTCCACGTCCAAGCACACCAACGACGCCGAGGGCGCCTCTGTCCGTGCGCAACGAGCAAGCGCGGAAACACCAGCGTGCGACGTGCCGAGCAAGCGGGCGGGCGCGGCTGCCTGCCCACCGGCAGTCAGCAGCCACACGGGCGTCGCCGCGGCCGAAGCCGCGCTGACCTGCACCGCCCTCAGCGCTAGCTCGGCCGTCGCCAACGGGCCGGGGAGACCAATCGCAGAGACGGCCACCACATCAGCGGCTCGCGAAGCGTGGCTCGCGCCAGTCGGAGAGGCACGCGGCCCCGCCGATCCAGCAGCCCCGGACCAGACCGTGCGTGGACCCACTGCCGTCGCCGCCGCACCCTCTCCAGCGCGCTGCCATCCCGTCTGGTACAAGTGATGCTGCACCAGCGGCGCCGCCGCCTGCAGAGCCGCCGCCGCCACGGCGCGCACCTCAAAGGAGGCGAGCTGCACTGGCGGCGGGAGGTCAAACGCGCCGCCAATGCACACGTCCATCCCGCCCGACCCCCTCAGCTCCGCCACCGGCCACAGCCAACCCGAGGCTCGGGAGAGGGACGCCTCGCCCACCGAGAAGGGCAGGCGCATCTCGCCCGCCTTGCGCATCTCGCCCGCCTTGCGCTCCCCGAGCAAGGCTGTCGTGTGCAGCGCGCCGTCGATGTCCGCAGGGTGCACCTGAGTGCCGCACAAGCTCGTGCGGCGCTGCAGTCTGGCCACCGCCGCGCCCGGCGAGGACCAGGCCGCATCCAGGGTGCGGTAGGCTGGGCCGTACTCGAGTCCGGACACACGGAGGGTCTCGTACAGCGCACACAGGTCCACGGCACGCCCGCCCACGGACCGCAGCCGCGCGAGAGACGCCGCATGGCCGGCGTGCGCCACAGCAGAGGCAGCCCCTGCGCAGTGCGCCGTCGACGGCTCCTCCGCGACCGGGAAGCTGCGGACCTCAAACCGGCCGCCCGCCGCATCGATGGAGCACTCCACGGAGGCCGTGCCTGCGAGTACGAGCGGCTGCAAGAAGTACACCCGCCGCAGCGAGGCTGCACCCGGGCGCGCCGGCGACGAGGAGTGCACGCACCCCCAAGATGCGCGCGCCATCTCGAGGTAGCCGGCCGCCGGGAACAAGGTGCTCCCTCGAACGACGTGGTCTGCAATCAGGGCGCGCAAAGCTCCCTCCACCTCAGAACGAAGGACCGCCGAAACGCCGCTCTCCACGCGCTCGAGCCGCCGTTGCGCGAGCGGGTGCGGCGTCTCGCGCCATCCGTAATGGCGGCGCGCGTACGACAGGCCTTCGCGCAGCCCGTCCACCGCCAGCGCCGCCAGCGGCGACTCCGACTGCGCAACGGCGTGAACGATCGTCCCGCTGTAGCCAAACGAGCTCACCCCGCCGGCCGCAGTGCCCGCGTCACCGCGCATTTGAGGCGTGGTGACGAGCTGCGTCGGCAGGGCGCCCGAGGCGCCCTCGAGCGCCGAGCTCACGTGCGGGTTGAGCACGCGCAGCTGCGCGTTGGGCGCAGCCTCGAGCCCAGTGAGACCCAACGCGAGCCGCAGCAAGCCGGAGCTACCCGCGGCCGGCTCGGCATGGCCCGCATTCGCCTTAATGCTCCCAATCGCCGGCTCCGCCGCGCCGCCCCGGGCCGCGAGCACCGCGGCAGCCATCGAGCGGGTCTCGATCGGGTCGCCCAGAGGCGTGCCCGTCCCGTGCGCCTCGACGCAGCAGACGGCCGACGCGGCGGTGCTGGCGTCCGAGAGCGCGGCCTCGAGCAAGCTCCGCTGCGCCTGGCCATTCGGCGCCGTCAGGCTGGCGCTCCGGCCGTCCTGCCGCACGCAGCTGCCGAGGATCGACGCGGACAAGCCGCCCTCGCCTGCCTGCGCCTGCAGGCCGAATGCGCTGATCGCCTCGCCGCGCGCGTACCCATCGGCGCGGCGGTCGAACGTCTTGCAGCTGCCCGTCGCCGAGGTCATGCCCGCAATGGCGAACGACATCTCCAAGCCGGGAAGGAGCATCATGCTAACTGCCAGCAAAAGCGCGTCCGGACACTCCTCCATCTGCAGCGCGCGCAACGCAGCGTGGTTGGCAGCCAGCGCCGCAGAGCAGGCCGTGTCGTAAGACACGCATGGCCCCTGCAAGCCGAGCACGAAGGAGATGCGGCCCGCGGCTATCGAAAGGCTGCTGCTCGTTGCGGCGTACACGCTGCGAGATAGATACGGAGAGGCGCGAACGTGATACGACCATTCGGTAGAAGCAGCAGCGATGCCGAGAAAGACGCCGGTGCCGCCGCCCATCAGGGCGCCCCGCTCCAGACCGGCCGCGAGCAGAGCCGCGTACCCGTGCTCGAGGAGCAGCCGCTGCTGGGGGTCCATCGCCGCCGACTCGGCCGGCGAGACGCTGAAGAAGGCGTTGTCGAAGAGGTCGGCGTCGCGGAGGAAGCCGCCGTACCGAATGCGCTGCCCAATGGCGTCGTCCGGAGCCGCCGCCGCAAGCTCCCAACGATCCGGCGGAACCTCGCAAATCACGCTCCGGCCCGTCGACGCGAGCAACCGCGCGCCAACAGCGCCGCACACGCCCATCGGAAGACTGGCGCTCAAGCCACGCACGCGCGCGGCACGAGACGACGCGCCCTGCGACCGAGAGTGGCCGACCGGCGCCGCCACCGCCGCCGCCGCCGCCGCCGGCGCAGCGGCGGACTGCTCGGCGAAGTAGCCCGCCAGCTGGCGCGCGGTGGGGTAGTCAAAGACGAGCGTGCTCGGCAGGCTCTGACCCGAATGCGCTTTCAGCTGGTTGCCGAGCTCCACCGACCCCAGCGAGTCGAGCCCCGCCTCCATCAGAGGCACGTCCGCACTCGCGTCGGCTCCCGTCGTCTGCTTCACTAGCTGCATCACCAGCTCCAGGCTCACCGTCGCGGCTGTCGACGTCGAGGTCGCCGCCACCGCCGCCGCCGCCGCCGCGCCGGACGAGGCCCCGCCCCGCCCCGCAAAGGCGCTCAGCAGGGCGGGCACGACGCCGCCCCGCGTGCCGAGGTACTGGCCCCAACGCACCGGAAATAGCGACATCGCCGACGGGCAGACCGGCCGCAGCGCCGCCTTGAAGGCGACGACGCCCTGCGCCAACCCGATCAGGCCGATCCCGCCCGCCTGCAGCCGCGCATTCACGGCGCCACCCGCAGCCATGCCAGAGTCGGCCCACGGGCCCCACTGCACGCTCGCCGCGCGCAAGCCGGTCAGCCGCCGCCGGCCGCCCAGCGAGTCGAGGCAGCAGTTCGCCGCTGCGTAGTTGGCCTGGCCGCTGCCGCCGAGCACCGCCGAAATGGAGGAAAAGAGCACGCACGCGTCCACCGGCGAAGGCGCGCACACGCGGTGGAGCGCCCACGCGCCCACCGCCTTTGGGGCGAACACTCGGCGGAGCGACGCCGCGCTCTGCGACGCAAGCAGCGCGTCTGCCAACACGCCCGCCGCGTGCCACACGCCACGCAGGGGCGGCGCGCCATCGATGCGCAAGCCAGCAAAGAGGCGAGACACCTCGGACGGCTCGCCCGCGTCGCACCGCGCCGCCCGCACCTCGCACACGCCGGAGCTGCGCAGACGCGCGCCCGCCGACGCTGAGATCGAGCCGCCGCGCGATGCGACCACCAACGCGCCCGCGCCGCTCTCCGAGAGCCACGCACCCGTCACGACGCCAAGCGCGCCGCTCCCGCCCGTCAGGACGTGCGAGCCCTCCACCGCAGCGTCGCCCGCCGCAGGCACACGGATCACGACCTTGCCGATGTTGGAGCCCGCCTGCATCCAGCGGAAAGCAGCCTGCGCGCCGCGCTCCAGACCGAACACGCGCAGCGGAAGACCGTGCAGCACGTCCGCCTCCGCGCGGGACGACAGCAAGCGCAGCGTCCGGCACATCCACCACGGCACCTGCTCCATCGTCGAGTCGAGCGCGATCGCAACGTACCGCGAGTGCGCCGCCGCCTCGTGCCGCTCGTAGCTCCACACCGCGCGCTTGCCAATCTCGCACAGGCAGCCGTCCTCGCCGAGCAGCGCGAACGAGCACACGATGAAGTCCGCCGACAGACTGTTGAGCACGCCCCGCAGACGCGAGCCGCGCAGCTGCGCCGAGGCGCCGAGCGCGAAGGCGCCGCCGTCACGCGAGCTCAGCGTGCGGCCGCAGAAGCCCGCGTGGTGCAGAAAGCGGTGCTTCTGCGGCTGGCCCACCGTCGTGCTCGGACGCGAGCGCAGCCACTGCGCGTACTCGCCCGCCGCCAGGCCCACGCCGCCCGCGCCCGCGTGCAGCAGCAGCCTGTCCGTCGAGCGCGGCCGCGACGCCAGCAGCGCCATGTGCACCGTGCTCCACGTCGTCGGCAGCGTGCACGCGGCGTCGTCCGAGAGGACCCCGCCGGTCGGCGCCACGAGCCGCGCGTCCGCGCGAGACACGGACGCAAGAGCCGCGACGCCGTGGCCCAGCACCCGCGCCCCCACCGGCAGGTGCGCCACGCCTGCGCCAACGGAGCTCACCACCGCAGCGCAGTCCCCGCCCGGCGGGCCCGGGTCGCCGGGGTACGCGCCGAGCACGTTGAGCACGTCGCGGAAGTTGAGGCCCACCGAACGCACGTGCAGCTCGACTCCGTCTGGCTCGGCGGCGCAGCCGCCCGCGGGCTGTGAGACCACCCTCAGATTCGTCAACGCGCCCCGCGCGTCGAAGTGCAGCCTTATCGGCCCTGCCAATGCCTGCGCCGCAGCCAGCAGCCTCGGCGCTGTCAAAGTGCTGCCAACGAGCGCCGCCTCCGGCTCGCCAAGACGCGCCGCCAAGTCCGCGGCGTGGACAAGCGTCGCCGGGGAAGAGCACGTCCGCGCGCCGTCCACGTCCAAGCACACCAACGACGCCGAGGGCGCCTCTGTCCGTGCGCAACGAGCAAGCGCGGAAACACCAGCGTGCGACGTGCCGAGCAAGCGGATGGGCGCGGCTGCCTGCCCACCGGCAGTCAGCAGCCACACGGGCGTCGCCGCGGCCGAAGCCGCGCTGACCTGCACCGCCCTCAGCGCTAGCTCGGCCGTCGCCAACGGGCCGGGGAGACCAATCGCAGAGACGGCCACCACATCAGCGGCTCGCGAAGCGTGGCTCGCGCCAGTCGGAGAGGCACGCGGCCCCGCCGATCCAGCAGCCCCGGACCAGACCGTGCGTGGACCCACTGCCGTCGCCGCCGCACCCTCTCCAGCGCGCTGCCATCCCGTCTGGTACAAGTGATGCTGCACCAGCGGCGCCGCCGCCTGCAGAGCCGCCGCCGCCACGGCGCGCACCTCAAAGGAGGCGAGCTGCACTGGCGGCGGGAGGTCAAACGCGCCGCCAATGCACACGTCCATCCCGCCCGACCCCCTCAGCTCCGCCACCGGCCACAGCCAACCCGAGGCTCGGGAGAGGGACGCCTCGCCCACCGAGAAGGGCAGGCGCATCTCGCCCGCCTTGCGCATCTCGCCCGCCTTGCGCTCCCCGAGCAAGGCTGTCGTGTGCAGCGCGCCGTCGATGTCCGCAGGGTGCACCTGAGTGCCGCACAAGCTCGTGCGGCGCTGCAGTCTGGCCACCGCCGCGCCCGGCGAGGACCAGGCCGCATCCAGGGTGCGGTAGGCTGGGCCGTACTCGAGTCCGGACACACGGAGGGTCTCGTACAGCGCACACAGGTCCACGGCACGCCCGCCCACGGACCGCAGCCGCGCGAGAGACGCCGCATGGCCGGCGTGCGCCACAGCAGAGGCAGCCCCTGCGCAGTGCGCCGTCGACGGCTCCTCCGCGACCGGGAAGCTGCGGACCTCAAACCGGCCGCCCGCCGCATCGATGGAGCACTCCACGGAGGCCGTGCCTGCGAGTACGAGCGGCTGCAAGAAGTACACCCGCCGCAGCGAGGCTGCACCCGGGCGCGCCGGCGACGAGGAGTGCACGCACCCCCAAGATGCGCGCGCCATCTCGAGGTAGCCGGCCGCCGGGAACAAGGTGCTCCCTCGAACGACGTGGTCTGCAATCAGGGCGCGCAAAGCTCCCTCCACCTCAGAACGAAGGACCGCCGAAACGCCGCTCTCCACGCGCTCGAGCCGCCGTTGCGCGAGCGGGTGCGGCGTCTCGCGCCATCCGTAATGGCGGCGCGCGTACGACAGGCCTTCGCGCAGCCCGTCCACCGCCAGCGCCGCCAGCGGCGACTCCGACTGCGCAACGGCGTGAACGATCGTCCCGCTGTAGCCAAACGAGCTCACCCCGCCGGCCGCAGTGCCCGCGTCACCGCGCATTTGAGGCGTGGTGACGAGCTGCGTCGGCAGGGCGCCCGAGGCGCCCTCGAGCGCCGAGCTCACGTGCGGGTTGAGCACGCGCAGCTGCGCGTTGGGCGCAGCCTCGAGCCCAGTGAGACCCAACGCGAGCCGCAGCAAGCCGGAGCTACCCGCGGCCGGCTCGGCATGGCCCGCATTCGCCTTAATGCTCCCAATCGCCGGCTCCGCCGCGCCGCCCCGGGCCGCGAGCACCGCGGCAGCCATCGAGCGGGTCTCGATCGGGTCGCCCAGAGGCGTGCCCGTCCCGTGCGCCTCGACGCAGCAGACGGCCGACGCGGCGGTGCTGGCGTCCGAGAGCGCGGCCTCGAGCAAGCTCCGCTGCGCCTGGCCATTCGGCGCCGTCAGGCTGGCGCTCCGGCCGTCCTGCCGCACGCAGCTGCCGAGGATCGACGCGGACAAGCCGCCCTCGCCTGCCTGCGCCTGCAGGCCGAATGCGCTGATCGCCTCGCCGCGCGCGTACCCATCGGCGCGGCGGTCGAACGTCTTGCAGCTGCCCGTCGCCGAGGTCATGCCCGCAATGGCGAACGACATCTCCAAGCCGGGAAGGAGCATCATGCTAACTGCCAGCAAAAGCGCGTCCGGACACTCCTCCATCTGCAGCGCGCGCAACGCAGCGTGGTTGGCAGCCAGCGCCGCAGAGCAGGCCGTGTCGTAAGACACGCATGGCCCCTGCAAGCCGAGCACGAAGGAGATGCGGCCCGCGGCTATCGACCGACTGCTGCCCGTGGCGGCGTACACGCTCCGGCTCATCGGCGAGGCCTTCACGATGTCATACCAGTCTGCCGCAGCGATGCCGAGAAAGACGCCGGTGCCGCCGCCCATCAGGGCGCCCCGCTCCAAACCGGCCGCGAGCAGAGCCGCGTACCCGTGCTCGAGGAGCAGCCGCTGCTGGGGGTCCATCGCCGCCGACTCGGCCGGCGAGACGCTGAAGAAGGCGTTGTCGAAGAGGTCGGCGTCGCGGAGGAAGCCGCCGTGCCGAATGCGCTGCCCAATGGCGTCGTCCGGAGCCGCCGCCGCAAGCTCCCAACGATCCGGCGGAACCTCGCAAATCACGCTCCGGCCCGTCGACGCGAGCAACCGCGCGCCAACAGCGCCGCACACGCTCATCGGAAGACTGGCGCTCAAGCCACGCACGCGCGCGGCACGAGACGACGCGCCCTGCGACCGAGAGTGGCCGACCGCCGCCGCCACCGCCGCCGCCGCCGCCGCCGGCGCAGCGGCGGACTGCTCGGCGAAGTAGCCCGCCAGCTGGCGCGCGGTGGGGTAATCGAAGACGAGCGTGCTCGGCAGGCTCTGACCCGAATGCGCTTTCAGCTGGTTGCCGAGCTCCACCGACCCCAGCGAGTCGAGCCCCGCCTCCATCAGAGGCACGTCCGCACTCGCGTCGGCGCCCGTCGTCTGCTTCACTAGCTGCATCACCAGCTCCAGGCTCACCGTCGCGGCTGTCGACGTCGAGGTCGCCGCCGCCGCCGCCGCCGCCGCCGCGCCGGACGAGGCCCCGCCCCGCCCCGCAAAGGCGCTCAGCAGGCCGGGCACGACGCCGCCCCGCGTGCCGAGGTACTGGCCCCAACGCACCGGAAATAGCGACATCGCCGACGGGCAGACCGGCCGCAGCGCCGCCTTGAAGGCGACGACGCCCTGCGCCAACCCGATCAGGCCGATCCCGCCCGCCTGCAGCCGCGCATTCACGGCGCCACCCGCAGCCATGCCAGAGTCGGCCCACGGGCCCCACTGCACGCTCGCCGCGCGCAAGCCGGTCAGCCGCCGGCGGCCGCCCAGCGAGTCGAGGCAGCAGTTCGCCGCCGCGTAGTTGGCCTGGCCGCTGCCGCCGAGCACCGCCGAAATGGAGGAAAAGAGCACGCACGCGTTCACCGGCGAAGGCGCGCACACGCGGTGGAGCGCCCACGCGCCCACCGCCTTTGGGGCGAACACTCGGCGGAGCGACGCCGCGCTCTGCGACGCAAGCAGCGCGTCTGCCAACACGCCCGCCGCGTGCCACACGCCACGCAGGGGCGGCGCGCCATCGATGCGCAAGCCAGCAAAGAGGCGAGACACCTCGGACGGCTCGCCCGCGTCGCACCGCGCCGCCCGCACCTCGCACACGCCGGAGCTGCGCAGACGCGCGCCCGCCGACGCTGAGATCGAGCCGCCGCGCGATGCGACCACCAACGCGCCCGCGCCGCTCTCCGAGAGCCACGCACCCGTCACGACGCCAAGCGCGCCGCTCCCGCCCGTCAGGACGTGCGAGCCCTCCACCGCAGCGTCGCCCGCCGCAGGCACACGGATCACGACCTTGCCGATGTTGGAGCCCGCCTGCATCCAGCGGAACGCAGCCTGCGCGCCGCGCTCCAGACCGAACACGCGCAGCGGAAGACTGTGCAGCACGTCCGCCTCCGCGCGGGACGACAGCAAGCGCAGCGTCCGGCACATCCACCACGGCACCTGCTCCATCGTCGAGTCGAGCGCGATCGCAACGTACCGCGAGTGCGCCGCCGCCTCGTGCCGCTCGTAGCTCCACACCGCGCGCTTGCCAATCTCGCACAGGCAGCCGTCCTCGCCGAGCAGCGCGAACGAGCACGCGATGAAGTCCGCCGACAGACTGTTGAGCACGCCCCGCAGACGCGAGCCGCGCAGCTGCGCCGAGGCGCCGAGCGCGAAGGCGCCGCCGTCACGCGAGCTCAGCGTGCGGCCGCAGAAGCCCGCGTGGTGCAGAAAGCGGTGCTTCTGCGGCTGGCCCACCGTCGTGCTCGGACGCGAGCGCAGCCACTGCGCGTACTCGCCCGCCGCCAGGCCCACGCCGCCCGCGCCCGCGTGCAGCAGCAGCCTGTCCGTCGAGCGCGGCCGCGACGCCAGCAGCGCCATGTGCACCGTGCTCCACGTCGTCGGCAGCGTGCACGCGGCGTCGTCCGAGAGGACCCCGCCGGTCGGCGCCACGAGCCGCGCGTCCGCGCGCGCGATCGAAGCGAGCGCCGCGGTCGCCTGGCCCAGCACCCGCGCCCCCACCGCCAGGTCTGTGTACGCGCCTCCATCGCCAACGGAGCTCACCACCGCAGCGCAGTCGTTGCCAGGCGGGCCCGGGTCGCCGGGGTACGCGCCGAGCACGTTGAGCACGTCGCGGAAGTTGAGGCCGACCGAACGCACGTGCAGCTCAACCTCGCTCTCCCCCGGCACCGAAGGCGAGTGCCACTGTGGCACCACACACAGGTTGGCCAACGCGCCCCGCGCGTCGAAGTGCAGCCGCACCGGGCCGGTCGTCGAGTGCGCCACCTCTGCCAGCCGAGGCACGCGCCACCCGCCGCCGGCAAACGCCGCCTCTGTCTCGGCGTCCTCCAGTGCCGACGGCCCGACCACCAGCCGTGCCGCCGCAAGGGCCCCGGAGGCGCACGGCTCCGCGACGACGTCCAAGCACGAGAGGCGCGCGCCCGCCGCCTCGATGCGCACCGTCCGCGCGAGGCCAAGCGCGCCCGCGTGGGACGGGCTGCCCGACCGAGCGCAAAGGGCGTGCACGCCCGGCGTCAGAAGAGCGAGAGGCACTGGCTGCGGCCTCAGCTGCAGGCGCACCAGGCTCAACGCAGCCTCGACGGCAGCGAGCGCACTCGAGCCGGTCGCCCCGCGCCCCAGCGGCAGGGAAGACATGAGCGCGGCAGTTGAGCGCGGCGAAACCCGGCTCACGCCAGGACCACTCGCGCCCAACGCGGTGGCAGAGGTGGTGCTCTTCGAACAGACGACCAGGGCGAGCTCCGTGCTCGGCGCAAGCTCGGCAGCCGACACAAGCACCGGCAAGCTCCGCCACTCAGACGTATAGAGGTGGTGCTGCTGGCGTGGCGCCGCCGTCGGTTGAGCGAGCGCCTTGAGAGCGCGACTCTCAAACCCACTCACCTGGCCGCACGGAGCCACCCCTACAGCCGCACGGATCAGCCACACGCCCGTCGAGTCGGCGCCCTGCCGCTCGACGGCGCCGAACAGGTGTCCGCGAGCGGCGGTGAGGACCGCCTCGCTCACCTTGAACGGGAGCTTGGTCTCGCCCGTAGAGCTGCCAGTGACGAGGCTTGTCAACTGCAGTGCGGCGTCCAAATCCGCCGGGTGCACCTGCGTCCCCTGCCGCCGGGTGCGCTTGCACAGCTTGCCGAGCGCAACACCGTGGTCGCCGTTCCTCCAGGCCTCTCGGATCAGTCGGTAACAAGGCCCGTACTCGAGGCCAACCGACACGAAAGCGACGTAGATGCGAGCGGCGTCAACGGTGTCGGTGCAGACACCCCGGAGCTGACTCGTGGGCGAGCGAAGCCGGCTCTCGAGCACTTCGAGGGCAGCATCGCCTGCACTGTGCGTCGTGGACGCCTCGCCGTCCCCTCTTGAGCTGGAGATGTCGAAGCGGTTGGCTGACTCCTCGAGCTCGCAAGAGACCCAGAGCGCCTCCCCTCCGAGGATCAGCGGCTGCAGGAAGTAGGTGCGGCGGAGCGTCGCTCCTGCAGCAAACGGCTGCGCCGCGCAGCACGCCGCGCGCGCCATCTCGAGGTAGCCGGCGCCGGGGAAGACGATGCTCCCCTGCACGATGTGGTCCGAAGCAACGGAAAGGGCGGCGCTGGCCGACGAGCGGAACACAGTCGCGCTGCCGGCCTGATGAAGCTCGGCTACAAATGGGTGTGGGCTTTGTCGCCAGCTGTAGCGACGGCGCGCGTATCCCACGCTCGTGCGTGTGGGTGGCGGTGGGTGCGGCGCCGCCTCCATGACAGTGTGCGCAATTGTCCCGCTGTAGCCAAACGAGTTCAAGCCACCGATGCGCTTGCCATCTAACGATGGTTGAGGCACGATCTGCGTGGGCAGGAGGCAGCAGGCACCACCAAGTGCTGATCCGACGTGCTCGTTGAGAACACGCAACCGCGCATTCGGTGGGGCTTGCCCGAGCAGCAGGCCGCGTGTCAGTCGGATGAGACCTGCGCCCCCTGCCGCCGGCTCCGGGTGCCCGGCGTTCGCCTTGACGCTAGAGATGATCAGCGGAAACTCTCCGTCCCTTTTGGACAGGAGCACACCGTGCAGCGAACTCGCTTCGATGGGATCACCGAGAGGAGTGCCCGTGCCATGGGCTTCCGCTGCTGAGGCCTCCTCAGGAGCCACTCCAGCGTCCGCGAGCGCGGCTCGGAGGAGATTCTGCTGCGCTTGCCCGTTTGGCGCGGTGAGACTCGCGCTCTTCCCGTCTTGGCGGACACTGCTGCCGAGCGGCGTGACTCGGTCAAGATCCTCCATACTTGAGCGGTGCACGGCAGCACAGCAGGCCTCGCCGCGAGCGTAGCCGTCAGCGCGTGCGTCAAAGGTTTTGCTGCTGCCAGTCGGCGACGTCATGCCCGCGATGGCGAAGGTCATGCTGGGAGCTGGCAGTAGCATCAGGCTCACCGCTGCGAGGAGAGCGCTTGCGCACTCCCTCAGTTGAATGGCTCGCAGCGCAGAGTGGTTGGCAACCAATGCTGCCGAACACGCTGTGTCGATCGAGACACAAGGGCCCTGCATTCCGAGCACGAACGAAATCCGACCCGAAGCGATGGCATGGCTGCTACCCGTCGCCGCGTACACACTGCGAGCCATTGTCGGGGAGGTTCTGACGATTTCAAGCCAGTCGTGGCCTTCAATGCCGATGAAAATCCCCGTGGTGGTGCCCATGAGCTCAGCCTTGTTGAGCCCCGCGCCATGCAGCGCCTCAAACCCGCGATCAAGCAGTAGCCGCTGCTGCGGGTCCATCGCAGCGCCCTCCGCCGGTGAGATCCCAAAGAAGACGTTGTCAAAGAGGTCGGCGTCGCACAGGAAGCCGCCGTGGCGTACCCGCTCCCCAATGACGCCGCTCAGCTGCGATGCCCAATCCAACGACCAGCGATCGCTCGGCACTTCGGAAGTCACGACGCCGCCGCTGGAGGCGAGACGTCCCAGGGCAGTGCTCGACGACGTACCGCCCGGCAGCATCGCACACATGCCATACATGGTAGAGCTCGCGCCCTCTGAGGGGCGAAGTAGCGAGGCGGAGCCCCCGAAGATGGACTTGCGACTCGATCGGCTACTGCGCGGCTGCGGCTCCGATAGGCTGATCATGTGGTCGTGAATCAGCCGCGCCGTTGGGAAGTCAAAGACGAGCGTGCTCGGGAGGCTCTGGCCGGACCGCCGCTGAAGCTGATTCCCAACCTCGACGGCACCGAGCGAGTCGAGGCCCGTCTCCATGAGAGGGGCGTCGGCATCAATAATGCTTCCTCCGGTCGTGAGTTGCAGCGTCTCGATAATGACCTCGAGCGAGAGTTGCTGTGCGCCCGGCGATCCAACTCGGATGGCCACCTTTGCAGCGGGAGTGGAGGCGGTCGCCGAGGGCTCAGCGGGCACGAAGGCCGACAGCAATCGGCAAGGGCTGCGGGCCCGGAAAAAGCGGCTCCAGTCGAAGGGTGTCATGCAGAAGATAGGAGGGCCACGGCCGATCATGGCGGCTCGCAACGCCACCTTCCCTTTTTGTGGAGTGATCAGGCCCATGCCTGCCGCCTGGAGGCGCACGTTGACGGCGGCCCCCGCCGCCATCCCAACCTCCGCCCACGGGCCCCACTGGACGCTGCACGCAGCAAACCCGTCGAGGCGACGGCGAGACGCAAGCGCGTCGAGGCAGCAGTTCGCCGCCGAGTAGTTGGCCTGGCCGCCACCGCCCAGTAGCGCCATGACAGAGGAGAACAACACGCACGAGTCCAGGGCAATGGGCCTGCTCGCCTTGTGGAGCGCCCACGAGCCGATGGCCTTGGGGGCGTATGCGTGGCGGAGGGTCTTGGCCGTCTGCAGGGCAACGAGTGCATCTGCAAGCACCCCCGCCGCATGCCAGACGCCGCTCAGGTTCGTCATGGCGAGCGCCTGGCACAACACGTGCGTAATATCCATCTGCTCGGCCACATCGCACCCGGCCGTGAGCACTTGGCAGTCCGATGCGACAGGCAGCCCATGCAGGCCACCACGAGCAGAGATCATGCCGCTCCGCGAGGTCAGCACCACGCCGCAGGCTCCGCAGTCAGCGAGCCATCGGCCAACCACAAGGCCCAAGCCTCCAGTGCCGCCGGTGAGCAAATGTGTGCCTCTCGGGCAAGTTTCGTGCGAGGGCGGCAGTCGAATGACGACTTTGCCTATGTTGGACTGACTCTGCAGCCACTGGAAGGCGGCCAGCGCGTTCGCCTCGAATTCGAAAGTGCAAATCGGCAAACTGTGCAGCACGCTCGCCCGAGCCCGAGCCACCAGCAGCCGCAGCACGTCATTCATCCAAGCAGGCGTCTGCTCGAGCACGGTCTCGAGGGAGAATACGATGTATTGAACGTATGGCGAGAGGGGCTCACCAAGCTGTGCGAAGGTCCCGCTCCAGATGTCCTTGCTGCCAATCTCGCACAGGCAGCCGTCCTCGCCGAGCAGCGCGAACGAGCACGCGATGAAGTCCGCCGACAGACTGTTGAGCACGCCCCGCAAACGCGAGCCGCGCAGCTGCGCCGAGGCGCCGAGCGCGAAGGCGCCGCCGTCACGCGAGCTCAGCGTGCGGCCGCAGAAGCCCGCGTGGTGCAGAAAGCGGTGCTTCTGCGGCTGGCCCACCGTCGTGCTCGGACGCGAGCGCAGCCACTGCGCGTACTCGCCCGCCGCCAGGCCCACGCCGCCCGCGCCCGCGTGCAGCAGCAGCCTGTCCGTCGAGCGCGGCCGCGACGCCAGCAGCGCCATGTGCACCGTGCTCCACGTCGTCGGCAGCGTGCACGCGGCGTCGTCCGAGAGGACCCCGCCGGTCGGCGCCACGAGCCGCGCGTCCGCGCGCGCGATCGAAGCGAGCGCCGCGGTCGCCTGGCCCAGCACCCGCGCCCCCACCGCCAGGTCTGTGTACGCGCCTCCATCGCCAACGGAGCTCACCACCGCAGCGCAGTCGTTGCCAGGCGGGCCCGGGTCGCCGGGGTACGCGCCGAGCACGTTGAGCACGTCGCGGAAGTTGAGGCCGACCGAACGCACGTGCAGCTCAACCTCGCTCTCCCCCGGCACCGAAGGCGAGTGCCACTGTGGCACCACGCACAGGTTGGCCAACGCGCCCCGCGCGTCGAAGTGCAGCCGCACCGGGCCGGTCGTCGAGTGCGCCACCTCTGCCAGCCGAGGCACGCGCCACCCGCCGCCGGCAAACGCCGCCTCTGTCTCGGCGTCCTCCAGTGCCGACGGCCCGACCACCAGCCGTGCCGCCGCAAGGGCCCCGGAGGCGCACGGCTCCGCGACGACGTCCAAGCACGAGAGGCGCGCGCCCGCCGCCTCGATGCGCACCGTCCGCGCGAGGCCAAGCGCGCCCGCGTGGGACGGGCTGCCCGACCGAACGCAAAGGGCGTGCACGCCCGGCGTCAGAAGAGCGAAAGGCACTGGCTGCGGCCTCAGCTGCAGGCGCACCAGGCTCAACGCAGCCTCGACGGCAGCGAGCGCACTCGAGCCGGTCGCCCCGCGCCCCAGCGGTAGGGAAGACACGAGAGCAGTTGAGCGCGGCGGCGCTTGCTGCACCTGGAACGGCAAATCGGTGCCTTCTACTCGGGTCTCACGGGGCCACCCGCCGACGACGAGCCCCACGGGTCGTTGAGCCGCCGAATCACGGCTGCCAGCGACCAGCGGCTGCCACCTTGCAACGTACAGATGATGCTGTCGCTCTACCAACTGGACGCCACTCTTGCGACTGCGCCGGAAGCGCAGCGCAGAGCGGCGCCGCGACGGCGGGCGAAGCGCACGGCTCTCGAAGCCAGAAAGGCTGGCGAGAGGCGGTCTGTCGAGCGCGCCCGAGGCGAGCCAAAGCGCTGAGCTCCGCGCCCCTTGCCGCTCGACGATGGGGAAATGGCGGCCCCGGCCCGTCTGGGGGTGGGGGCCGGCCAGCTTCGAGGAGGTCAGGACCGCCTCGGCGAGCCGAAACATCAGTCGGGCTTCGCCGACTGCGAAGGTTGGCCGCCTCTCCACAGAGGGCATCTCGGGCGTGGCGCGCGAGTCACGCGTGGCGCGCGAGTCGCGGGCTGCGTGCGAGTCGTGCGAGGCGCGCGAGTCGCGCGAGGCGCTCTCGCCCGCGCGGGAGTGCATGATAGCGGTCAGCTGCAGCGCGCCGTCCAGATCGGCAGGGTGGAGCTGCGTGCCCTGCATGCGGGAGCGCCTGCTCAGCGCCGCCACGCCAACGCATTCAGAGATCCACGCTGACGCAAGCGTGCGGTATGCCGGGCCGTAGTCCAGGCCGAGGCCGCGCAAGGCTCCGTACAGCGAGCACACATCGATCGCGCCAGGCGTTGCCTCGCGAGCTGCAACAGGCTGCGGCGCAAACGGAGGCGCCAGTGCCACTGAGACGTCGCCAGCGCAATGCACCGTCGACAGCTCCTCGCCAACCGCCCCCTGGCGCACGGAAGACACCTCGAACCGCTGCGTCGGTGCGGCAGCGTCCAGCTCGCACACGATCCACACGTCGTCGGTCGTGTCGAGAAGGAGCGGCTGCAGAAAGTGGACACGGTGGAAGAGAGCGCCGATGTCGAGCCGGCTGATGGCGTCGCAGCCGGCGCGCGCCATCTCGAGGTAGCCTGCGCCCGGAAAGACGACGAAGCCGCCGCGCACCGAGTGGTCTGCGACGAGGGCCTGGATGGGACCAGAGCCCGGCGAGCGAAACTTGTTGACGACGGCATCGGCAGTCGGCAGCCGGTGCTGAACGAACGGATGCGGCGCCGCGCCGTGCCACGGGAATCGCTTCCGCCTGTACGCGGCGCGCGCCGCCATCGCGGCAGCGGGAGGCTCGCTCGCAGCCAAGGCCTCACAGAGCACCGCGTGCGCGATGGTGCCGCTGTACCCGAAAGAGCTCACTCCGCCGCACAGCCGTGAGCCCGCCGCTGCGGCGGCGACCTGCCCGACCGCAGCCGAGGGGCGCAAAGCGGCAGAGACGGTGCTCGCGACGTGCGTATTCAGCGAGCGCAGCTGCGCGTTTGGCGCCGCGTATCCGTCCGCCAACGACGCGGCAAGCGTAAAGAGTCCGACCAGCCCGGCGGCGGGCTCGAGGTGCCCCATCGTCGCCTTGATGCCGCACAGTGTGGTCGAAGCGCCAGAGCTGGAGCCGGAGCTCGCTTGCAACGCGGCTGCGAGTGCGCGCACCTCGGTTGGGTCGCCGAGCGGTGTGCCGGTGCCGTGCGCCTCGAGCAGCGGGAGCGCCACGCTCGCGGAAGGTGATGTTGCTCTGGCGAGAGCGAGCGCGATGAGATCGGTCTGTGCGGCCCCACTGGGTGCGGTGAGGCTCGCGCTGACGCCGTCCTGCTTCACGGCGCTGGACAAGAGCGTCGCCCCGTCCGCCGCACGGGGCTGGGCGCCCCCAGAGCGGAGGATCAAAGCGCCCACGCCTTCGCCGCGGACGTAGCCATCGGCGCGAGCGTCGAAGGTCTTGCAGCGGCCGGTCGGAGAGAGCATGCCCGCCCGAGCGTAGGCGACGGAGACGTGCGGCGTGAGCACGAGACTGACGCCGAGCACCATCGCCGCAGCACAGTCGCAAAGCGCGGCGGCATGGGACGCGGCGTGGAGCGCGACGAGCGCAGAGGAGCAGGCAGTGTCGAGCGACTCGCACGGGCCCTGCAGGCCGAGGGTGAAGGAGAGGCGGCCGGCGGCGACGGAGATGGCGCTGCCGGTGGCGGCGTAGACGGAGGTGGCGCCGCCGTAGGTGAGCAGCGACGCAAAGTCGTTGTTTGAGATTGCGAGGTAGACGCCCGCGTCCGAGCCGCGCGCGAGCTCAGCGGGCGATGGCGCGGCGGCGATTGACTCGAAAGCCGTCTCGAGCAGCAGCCGCTGCTGCGGGTCCATCGCGGCCGCCTCGGCGGGCGAGACGGCGAAGGCGCGGTTGTCAAACAGACCGGCGCCTTCGATGGTTGCGAGGTGGCGCAGCGGTGCGCCCTGCCCCGGCGCGGCCTGCTCGTTGACCCACCGGTCGAGCGGCACCTCACCGACGGCATCAAGCCCGCACATTGCAAGCTGCCGCAGGGCCGACCCCGACGGCGCACGCGGCCACCGTCCCGTCAGGCCGCACAGAGAAGGGGGCTCCGAACGGCCGCCTTCGGTGGCGGGCAGGCGGGTGCGGAGTGCTGTCGTCGCGGCCGCTTTCACCCCGAGCGCGAGCCTGCGGCGCGGAGCGGCACGCGCAGTCAGTGGGGTCGGGAGACTAGGTGCTCCCGGGAGGGAAGGGTCGGGCCCTGAGCGCCGCGGCGCTCCAGCGGCGCGGCGTGACTACTCTCGCGGCCGACTGCACCGTGCGAGGTGGTCGGCGAGGAGCACGCCCGTAGGCGCCGAGAAGAGTATCGTCTCCGAGAGGCCGGCCAGGCCTGTCGCCGCCCGCAGGCTGCCGATGAGGTCGGCCACGCTCTCCGAGTCGAGCCCGACTGTCATCAGCGGCGCATCGTCGGAGGCGGCAGCGCCGCCAGTGAGCCGCGCCACGGTGTCGCGAACCAGCGCGAGCATCTCCGACCTCTTTGCTGCAAATGCCGCAGCATCCGCCGTGGCGCTGGCATCCACTCGGGGACGCACAGCACCAGAAGCTTCTTCTGAGAGGCGGTAGACGCTTCGGTCGGCTTCGACACGAGCACCGCGAGAGGCGTTCAGCATCAGCAGTGCCGTCTGGCTGCGTGCCGTGCGCGGACCGAGCTCGGCGCCATCATCGGCGCTGGTGTAGGTGCCGGGAGCAGGGTGCTCGAAGACGATCACTGATTGCTGCCTGAGGGTGTGCGAGACGAGGAGCGCCTCGAGGCCGGCCGACAGGCGACCGTGTGCAAGCTGCAGCCGAATTGGAGAGCCGATGCCACTGCGAGGAGACGCTGTTGCGATGAGCTTGGTCTCGCGCCTGGGACGCGCCGGCATCGCGGCGAAGAAGGAGACACTCGTGCACCAACGGGGACTATGAGGCGGACCAAGGGCGAGGCCGCCGTTTCTTTTTTGTTGTCCCCCACCCCAAGTTCCCCCTGGTGTCCAGTCCGAGCCTGGCTGTTCTTCACCTTTCTACCTACCTACCTTCCCCCTGACCCCCCACCTGCTGAATTCTGTTTAAGATGAATTTCACATTACCCTGCCAACGATATTTTCCTGCAAGCGCAACTTCCGTCAAACCAGTTTAGATACCCAGTCTCGCAATTCATGCACTGCTCGGTACCCCCCCTGCACATCAGCTCATGGCCGACCCCCCCCCCCCCCCAGCAGGAGAGCTCTCCCGCTGGGGGGGGGTGGGATCTCTCTACAAACAGCAGCTGTGAGTAGCATGCGTTCCAGTGGCGAGAATTTATGGTCGGCATCAAAATCAGTGGTCTCACCCCGGCGGGCCCTCCTACTGCCAACCGGGAGGTGCGGGGCACGCCAGCCTCTCTTCTACGCCTCTCGTGCCTCGCGGCGCCTCTGCTTCAAGGAGGGAAGATACACGGCGCTCGCAGCCCATCATACCGCCGTGGCACAGCGGAGAGCACAGCGGACTGTACAAGCCATCAGATAGTGCTCAATATCTTCACATGCTCGTCGTTGGTGATATCCGCGCGAGGTCATACGCCACAGGCCAGCAATCGCTCGGTGATGTGAGACTACTGATGTAGGCGCGACGCTCTGAACCGAGTGTTTTGCTCGACGCTGCGACACCTAATTGAGTGGTAGTAACACGCCAGCACTCGACACGACGAAGGTGTATTGGACTCGAAGGCGCGCTGAACACAACCGCCTCGAGCGTAACCACTCACACGAGCCGGGCGGGGGGGGGGGGGGGGGGGCCCTTGGTCCCGGGGCCCTTTGCTGTTGGGGGGGTCGGGACCCCCCCCTCAGCAGCAGCGCTCTGCTGCTGGGGGGGTCCGGACCCCCCCCCCCCTCAGTAGCAGCGCTCTGCTCCTGGGGGGTCCCCCCCCAGCAGCAGGGATGAGCTTAGACGTGCAGGGGGGTACCGAGCAGTGTGCGGCCGCTCCAGGTGTATTCATTGGGGGGGGTCATCTCTCGCAAGCGAGCGAGAGGGGGAGAGAGAGAGAGAGTTAACACCCACGCAACGTTCCTGAGACCTATGACAACCACATGGCATCGGTTATGCAGTCGCTCGAGCCCTTCCTTAAAAAGACAGTATCCCTTCGTAATTCCGCCGTTGAGGGCGGTGGAGTACTCGAACCCTGCGATACGGCGCCTGCCGCTACGTTCGTTGTTGCATTCAGCGAGATTGGATTTTGCCGGCATTTTTCAACTCATGGTACTCCGTGCACTCCGGCTCCTCGCATCCCCAATTGGGCGCAATATCTCTGTTGCAATCGTTCTTCCAACGGCTCTGGGGCCTAACGCTAACCTTGCAGAGTTGTAGGCCTTGCGGCGGCGGAGGGGGCGGCGGAGGGGGCGGCGGAGGGGGCGGCGGCGGAGGTTGTGGCGATGGGCAATTGCCCTGGGATGTCATGGCTAAGCCAAAATGTCCTGCAGTGCAGGGGTTTGGTTTGCCGTTCCAGAGCGTCGCACGGCAACAGCTGTCTGGGCACAGGGAGTGAGATTGCGCAATCGAAACGTTCTGCGGAGTGAAACGACACGCGGAGGAGATTCCTTTTGAAGACAAAGACCGAGCACAAAACGGGGGGGCACGCGCGGCGCGCCCACCCTTCCCACGCTGGGCCCTCACCTCGCGAGAGTCTGAGCCAACCCATGAGACGGTCAAACGGATTGGGACTCGGCGTCGAGCGCATCGTTCACTCCTCCTCGTCGGGGTCCGAGGACTCGTCCGCGACGACCGGCTCGGGCTCCTTGGCCGCCGGCTTGACCTTCTTCTTTTGCGGCTTGGCCGCCGGCTGCTTCTTCGCGCCCTTGGGAATGGTTTGGATCGTGCGCCATTTCTCGCCGCGCGCCGCCTTCTTAATCAGCGACTTGGCCTCCGCGGACTTCACGGCTTTCACCACCTGTTCGACACAACACACACAGGCGCATGTCCCCAAACCTCGGTGCTAATACAAGGGCGACGCGTGGCGACGCGCCTTCTTTGCCGTTTTCGGGTTCATCTCGCCAAAGTCCTCAGGGTACTTGTCACCCAGCTGCTTCTTGATGTAGGGGAGGCTGATGCCGGCGGCCTCGAGGGACTCGTCGACGATCTCCTGCGGGCGCGCGCGCGCGGGGGGGGGGGGGGGGGGGTTTAAACGAATGGGTGCGGGTGGGGGGGCCATCTCCCGAGGGGGGGCTTTTATGGGGGGCCGGTTTTGGGGGGGGGGGCGGGGGAAAACGGGTGATGGGTGCGGCGGGGCTCATCTATGGCAAAGGATCAAAGGGGGATCGCGGTGGCGGGGACGGGGGGGCGGGGGCGAGGGAAGCGGCGGTGAGGGCGGCAAGGGGCTTGGCCGGCGATGGGCGATCGGGGGTCGGGCGTCGATGGCGGCGGTCAAGAAGCGAGGCGAGGCGGCGGCGAGCGGTGGCGACGTGCTATCCAGGTGCAGCGGAGGAGGATCGGGGGCCGGGCGCGCACGATGATCATGGTCTCGGTCGTGGTAGGCGCCATTTTGCTGTATCTACGAACGGGAGGAACGCAGACGACCGTGCAGGGTGGTGTGATTGCTGTAGTGTTCGTTTGCAAGCGCCGGCGATGAGCAGCCGCGGCGGGGAGGGCGGCTCGGGTTTGGGTCCATGGGAGACGAGGCGTGCGGCGGCGGGGAGTGTGTGTGTGTGTGCGGAGGAGGCTGCGGGCGCGGGTGGAGGGTGGGAGGAGGCGTTTGCGGCGAGGCGCACCAAAAAGCTATGCCGTTCTGGTCTTCTGTCTCTAGCAAGAAAAAATATTCATTTTGCCAGCGCGTGCGAGTCGCGTACCCACTGCGGCGCACAGGTGTTCGCGCGGTGCGAGTGGGCGCAATAAAGAATCTCGCGTGGCCTGCTTCTCCCACAGCACAACAATGAGAGAAACCACCGTGTGCTATCTGCGGCCAAAACGCGGCCCAACCGGCAAGGCGGCGGGCCGGAAGGGGAAACAAAACGACTTCCGGTGGTTATTATTATGTTCTTGCAGGACCCGAGTGGGATGAAGTCTTTGTGAAGTGCAAGTCCGCACTGGCCGTGGCCCGGACCCCCCGGTGCACCTCCACCCTGCTCCCTGCACGTCCACGTGCGTACACAGAGCTAGGGGCGTCGCGGCGAGGGCCCTATACGCATACCCCATAGCGCCCCATTCTCCATATATGTGCCATGTTATATCAGCACAGATCAGACCCGTGACGAAAAACGAAGAAGCACCAAGCGCCAAGCGTGAGGACGCGATTTCGAATTCGGAGGTACACCTAAGCAAAATCGAGCCCGCTCAGGTGAGAAAAAGTATATAAGGGTCGAAGCAGGTTTCGAACTGGCGACCTTCACCGCTTACGGAAAGGGAGCCAGCCAGAGATCGCTTCATGAGTGAGGGAGGTCGGATTTGGCGACCTATATAGCATACCGGGGGAATTAGACACCACAGATACGCACACACCGACGCCCGAAGTGCCAAGAAGGACGTCATTAGTACGAAACCTCAGAAGGCCATGGGCGCCGAGGGAACATTCCCCCGAGAGGACAAAAAAAAAAGTCGACGCACCCCCTCCTTGCGCAGTGACCCTCGCTAAGTGTCGCCGTCTCGGGGCACGCTATCCTGCGCAGGCAGGGCAAGCGGGGGCGGGGGGCACTCCCCCTGGTCTGATACTGGGGTGTGACTGTCTCCAGTCTCGGAGGGGGGCAAGAAGGTAAGAATATCTAATTTTTTTATATCAGCACAAGGGCAAGAAGGTAAGAATATCTAATTTTTTATATCAGCACAAGGTAATACTTAAACTCAAGAGTCGTGAGCTACAGTACAAATACATGGACCTTTACATGCACGCGTGTCGCGCCAGCGCGGAGATCAGTTGTACACGCACGCGCCTGTGTTGAAGATGCCTGCGCTCGCTACGTCCAGCTTGCTGTACAGCGGCTTGCAGGCGGCGCCTTTGGGGCAGCGAGAGGCCGGGCCGCCCGTGGGGTCGCTCGGGTCGCACACCAGGGCACAGTTGAAATCCCGGGGCGCAACCCCGAGGAGGAAGCACTGCGGGGTAGCAGTGGTGCCTGGCGGCAGGTCGTCGGTGGGGCACTCCACAAAGCCTCCGAGGCAAGCGGGCTGACCCTCCTTCGCCTTCGGACACCCGCACCATGGCGCGCAGACGGCGCCTTCCTCTCGCGCGCCATGTCCGCCCCCCGCGCCAGGGATGGTGATATTGCTGTCGCCTGGAATGGCCTCGGTCTTGCCCGGCCTGCATGCCGACACGAAAGGGTTGGCGTAGTTGTTGGCGCCCTCGGCATGTTGCACGCCGTTGATGATCGACCGAACAGGTGCCTGCGCGTGGCCAGACAGCGCCCCAGCAAGCGGCCTTTTCCCTGTGACGTTCGAAAAGATGGTGCAGGTGTATGCCCTCTTTGAGTCATGGCAGCCCGTCTTGGGGTTGCAGAGCGTGTAGAATCGGCCGATCCCGTGGATGCCGTCTCCACCTGCCAACTGACAGCAGGATTGCGGATTGCCGATGTGGTGGATGGAGGCAACCACGTCTCCGACCCACTCGTAGCCGCTCTCGCCATACATGGAGCTCGGGTCGAACTCGAACGCTCCCGCCGGGCAGGTTACGCCGGGCGCCCACGAAACCGAAGCAGTGGCGGCCTCCCAGGCAAGCACGCCATGGCAAGCGGCGGCAGACAGGAGGGTGGCTTTGATCATCGTTCGGCACCGCGCTCGATTTTTCTTTGTCGTGTGAGCCGGTGTGTGCGCTTGTGAACCTTCTTTTGTAGACCGCTAGGATTGAGAGCAGCCTCGCTCTCAATCCTAGAAGTCGAAGGATTGTGAGCAGCACTCTTCGCAATCGTAGCATCTCTGTACGATTCCTAGCACCTACGCTCGCAATCCTACATCTTCTAGGTAGGACTACTCGAGTAGGAGCAGCTCCGCTCCCAAGGTGACTGGTGACGCCTACGACTACTACCAGCGCGCTCGCAATCCGAGCAAAGTCTAGGGTTGCGAGCAGCTCTGCTCACAATCCGAGCAACATGCCTCCGATTGCGAGCAGTAGCGCTCGCAATCCTACATCTTGTAGGACTGTGAGCGGCGGCGCTCACAAGGCTGCTCATGGCGATCGCACTGGTCGGCGTCGTGTCGAGCCTCAGCTTATGCCTGGCGCTGCGTGCGCCACACCCTCTCGCGCCTTCGAGGGCGAGGACGAGGCCCATCCGGCTCGATGAGGATCGGTGCTACTATGGCGCCATCGACAGCGACGGAAACGTGCTCGACGATGACATCAAAGCGGACGCGGCCCCGGCGGTCGTGCCGGATCCCTCGCTAAGCCCTTCGGAGGTTGTTGACGCGCAGTTCAAGGCGCTCTCGAGGGGCGGTCCTGGCCTGGCAGAGGCCTTCGCGTTCGTCTCACCGAAGATTATCGAGCAGTACAGCATCGACCTGCAGAGGTACCGCGAGATCCTCAACGGGTACGCCTTTGAGGGCCTTATCGGCTGCTCTTCATGGACGGTGCTCAATTCCCTCTCCCCCACCGACGATCGCGCCGTCTTGAGCCTGCGCGTGTTGCCGAGGCCGATCCCAGGCTGTGTCAAAACGAGCGGTGTCGCGGACCAGGGCGGAATAACGTGGCCCTCCCACTACGTGTGGACGCTGTGCCGGGAGACCGACGAACCCTTCTCGGGCTGCTGGATGGTGGAGCAGATGGCTCCGAAGCGTGCACCGATCGACGTCGATGCCAATGAGTCTGTCCCGCCACGGGTGGCGCCAGCGGCAGCAGCACAGACTGAGTGACTCACTCTCACTCACAGTGTGGCACCCGGCCTGCCCTAAGCGGTCAAAGTGGAGTCCCTATTCTTTTTCCTTCGCGGCAACGGATGGCGGCAAGGCCTCTTTGCGCGCCCGCCCTCGTCACGCCGAAGACCAATCGGCGTCGGACCGCGGTGAGACCACGCCGCCCCCCGCGCCCGCCCGCGCCCGCAGCGTGAACACATACGCGCGTCCCTCATTGCACGGAAACATACGCGCCAGCCGCGCAGCAGCCTCACATGCAGCGCCGACCGCATGCTCGCGCCCTGGGCCGCCGACGACCCGGTCGGGCGGGTTGCGCGGCCGCCGCACACCACCAGGCAGGCGCACAACCACCCGCAGCGCGCCGCAGCCCACCGCGCAGCCCTGCCAGCCAGGCCTGCGCCTCAAAGACTCACAAACAGGCGCACAGCAGAGTACAGCACACAGCACACACCGGCGGCGCGCGCGCAGCACACGCAGACGCACGCGCGGATCCAACACGCACACGCGCACAGCACGCGCGCGCAGCACGCCAGCGCAGCGCCACACACAGAGCAACTCCCATCAGCAGCAGCAGGCCTGCCACAATCCACATCTCACACATGCGCGCGCACACTCCCCCCTACCGGCGCACGCATTGGGCGTCGCCGAGAGCTCCCAAAGCTGACTTGTGTGGCTGACTACCCCGATGCCGAAAATCATCTCCCGGACACTCCCTAGACGCTTCCTAGACACTTCCCGCGCCATCCCCGCACCCCGCAGACACTTCCTGGACACTTCGTGGACACTTCCTGGACACTTCCTGGACACGACCTAGAGACGTCCACGCCCCCACGGCCCGCTCTAGGCGCGGGAGGGCGGCTACGCTGGCCCGTCGCCGCTCGACCAGCAGCTGACCGCCGGGCAGAAGAAGGCGAGGAAGGAGGCAATCTCAGGCGAGATGAGCATGCGCTCGCAAGGCGGCAGGGAGTTTGTGGAGGCCGCGGAGGCGGGCCACGAGAAGGCGAAAAAGCGGGTCAAGGAGATCAAGGAGATCCAGCG